ATGGGGTGGATGGTGGATGGTGTCTGACTGTTTGCGGTGGGAAAAAGTGGCGATGGCTACAGGAATCAACTTGATGATGAGAGTGATGATGAAAATAAGTCCATCGTGGAGGGAATGAGGGTGCGGGGTGTAGTTATGTAGCCCCCGGCCGCTGATCTGTGGCTGGGGTAGCATCCGCGGGATCGGGCCGGATCCCGATCCCGCAGTAGAAACGCGAAGGTTGTGTGTGCGCTCCGGTGCATTACCATGTCTTTTGAGTTCCGCATTTTGTTAGACGATGATATCGCCGATGGCAAGGATGGTTGAGTTTGAAGAATTTAAGCCGTGTTCAGTTTCTGCAGCGACTCACTCTTGTCTCACTTGACATGGAGACTTGCAAAAGCCGCGGGTCTCTGCAACTGCCGCAACTACGGGTAAGCTTTGTCGATCCGAACAATGTCTATTCATTTCTTGTACAAGCAACAGATACAGGTCCAATGCCCCTTTCCAACGATGTCGAATGACCAAGCTGCGCTCTTCGACTGCCCAAGTCAAGTAGGTACCTAAGTACCTACTAGAGGTAGGTACCTAGACAAACGCGCACTGTCTCGCCTGGTTTGTCTCGAGTCTGAACAGTCTCAGCCACCAACAACAAACCTTGTCACTGTTTTTCTTCTATAAACGGACTTGGACTCCGAAAAGACGACTGTGGGGGAGGCCGGCGAAACAATCTGATTGACCGCGGCGGAACACTTTGGTTCCCCGCGAGACAAGTTGTTCGATCAAACCTAACCTGGATCCTCTAGGTTGTGTCGTATCATGCCACATACAAACTTGTCCGTCTCATGACTTTCTCAAGGAACCAAAAAAAAGAAGAAAACAAATATTGTTTTATTGCTGCTGCACATCATGCGGGTGAATGCATTTCCAACGTTCGCAATCCCTGCCGAATCAGGGAAGCAGCGGACCATTGGCGAGGGGAATACGTTCCAGAACAAGCCGAGTACATGGAGATGGCAGCAAAATGCACCACATTGCCAGGTAACTCGGGGCTCTGTTTGAGCAAGATGTTCAAGAAACATCTTGCTCACCAAACCCTCGGTCGTTTGACATTCACTTAAGTTGGCAGCTGCAAAGCACCAACAGCTGGCGGCCGGCCGGCCGCCAACAACGTGCTTGTTTGCACCAAACTGGCAACCTCGCGTTCGCATCCCGCAACGACCCTCTGCCCCGTCGTTCGTTTTTCCCGACCCTTTTCTTTCTCTTATTCTCTCGATCCGTCCTTTTATTTTCAGGCACTCTATTCTGTACAGTCTTTGCATCTTTCACGCCATCCAATTTTACCTGGCACCTCTGAGGTGTTGCTGCCTCCCACGCTCGTTCACAGTCTGAGTCCGTCTTGGTACGTTCAAGTCTCGCCCTCGATAGAACCCGTTTGGTCAAATCATCCTACCGTTGCGATGGAAGCGACCATGTTTCGCTTCGAAAACCTGTGTCTGGCCTCATGAGACCGGAGATGTCATCTTGCCCAGTGGCACAGCATGGGCCGAAAAGTCTATCCATCGAGGGATCGGCAATAATCGTGCACCGAGTGATTGGCCAAGTCGAACATATATAGATCAGGCAATATACCTACAAGAAGATTGAATTCACTAACTCGTGCGCTGATACTAGATTTATACCCTCACTTCTACCCTCAGAACGACCTCCCTCCAAACTTCGCATTTGAACAGGCAACATGGCCTTTGCCAAGCGCCGAGAGACCCTTGCCATTCTTTCTCCTCGACCAATGTCCCCCGAGTCTTCTGCAGTGTCCTCTGTCGAATACCTTCCCGCTGAGCCTCACCATATGGGTGTTCCGGATGGTGGCCGTCGCGCCTGGCTAGTAGTTTTGGGCGGCTTCATCAACTTCACTGCCTCGTTTGGTGCGTATGCCACAACGTCTGCTCCAACTCTCAACTAATGGTTTTTCCAGGTCTCATCAACTCTTTTGGTACTTTTGAAGCCGAGTATGAGGACGCTCTCCTCTGGAACACCTCCACCGCCACTTGGATTGGAAGCGCGCAGGTGCGGTCCTCGGCCACAATCGTGACAAGGCACAATTGCTAATGCCCTGTAGATGTTTGTTCTTTTCTTTGGTGGCATTTTTGTCGGTCCAGCCTTTGACAGATGGGGTGCTCGCAAACTCATGCTGACTGGAACGTTTCTCTGCCTGGTCGCGCTCATCTCCTGCAGCTTTGCCAGAGAATTTTATCAGTTTCTTCTCGCCCAAGGAATCCTTTTCGGCTTGGGCAGCGCTCTACTGTGAGTATCTCTTGACCCCCAATTTACCACGATGCTGACAGTTTCCAGATTCTACCCCGTCACGAGTTCTGTTTCGGAATGGTTCGACAAGAACCGCGGCCTTGCTCTCGGCGTTGTTGTTTCCGGAGCCTCGGCTGGTGGCATTCTGTGGCCCATCATCTTGAATCAGCTATTCATCACGCTCAAGATCCAATGGACGCATCGTGTGAGCGCAGCCATTGCTATTCCTATGATGCTCATTTCTTGCCTGCTGGTCAGGGAACGCAAAAGTATTGCCGGACATGACACAGCCGGAAACGAAATTAAGGCTTCGCAGAGGTCCGTATCCAAGGCAATCTGTGATGCGCGTTTCTTGGGACTTAGCGGCGCACTGCTTTTCATTAACTGTGGAATGATGCTCCCCTTTTTTTACATACCGCAGTACGCCAAGAACAATCATTTTGATGGCACAACGGCCAATAATTTGCTTGCCATTTCTTATGCCGCATCTCTGGTCGGCCGCATCTTTACCGGATGGGTTTCGGATCACGTTGGCAGGTATGTCAGGCATTGATTGACAATGTCCAAGATGAAAGCTGACTTTGCAAGGTTCAACATGCTTCTGATAGTATCTACACTAACTAGTATTGCGACTCTATGTTTTGTTTGGTCCAAAACACTTAGTTTTCTTATTGTCTTTTCGCTCCTGTTCGGCTTTTCGTCTGGTGGTGTTGTTCCCCTTGGCTCTGCTTGCGTCGCGCAGACAACTCCAGACATGGGCTATATTGGACTTCGCATCGGAGTCATGATGGCCATTTGTTCAGCAGGAACTCTTGCTGGTGGCCCAGCCGCTGGCGCCATCAAGGATGCAACGGGTGAATGGGGTGGAGTGTTTGTATTTTCTTCTGCGGTCACCATGAGTGGTACCGCAATACTGTTTGTGACCAGGATGATTTTCAGCAAGCGCCTTGTATTCTAATGAGGTAGGGGCTTTGCATGGGCTTTGGGCCACGGCTGGGAAGGTCTTGAAGGTTAACGGCGTATGGCACGGCCTGTTATAGATTTCTGTAACAAATACGAAAATTAGATTTAACCTCCCGTGATAGACCTACTGGGTGTGGTGCAAAAGTATTGTACCCATCTTTTCAGGCCCTTTCAGGATATCGGAGGCTGCTTTTGAACTTCGCCAATGAGCTGCGCTTATTGGCGCCCACTGATGGCTCTGAGGTACAGAAAGATTATCTGTCTCGGTTTGCGGGACGCATTTTTAACGCTGGTGTTACTCTTTCAAGCAACTTGATGACAGTGGATGAGTCGCATTGGCGTCAAACGCCAGGGTTGGGATGGCAGATGCAACCGTGATTCGGCATCATGCGGCGATGAAAAATGATCAACGGCTGATGACAAGCCTTTTTCCATTTGGTGCCGATCTCGGAAGACGCCTGGCGGTGAGTGAGCCTTGATCAGCATGGGGCTCAAGAAGCACTGAAAGGTCTACTTCTTTCTGGTCATGTGAGTTGATTTGATGCGGCACAACATTACGGCTCTTTGCTCACATATCAGGGGCCAATAGACTCGTGGCGCAAGGCGACGTGAGAATGAGGCGTTGTACCTGCATGACGGGGCGGCTACCGCCGACTCTGCGCAAGTTGTCTATACCAATATGAATGCCACTGGGCATCGTCTTGAACCTTTGTATTGAAGTCTCTGCAGGTTTTCTAATGCAACGAGGAGCGAAGAGAAGCTGTGCCTTACTTGATCCTCGTCTCCCCCGAGCAGCCGCTCGCAAAAAACGGACGGAGGTGTCTTGTACCACATACTCTGCTCAAGTGATGGCTTGGGCGTACCTATATTTTGAATACACAGATTTTTCTTCGGCTGGCTGCCTCTGCCCCCAAGGCGAAACGTCGGCAAAGAACGCCGTGTAACTGGACCTGATGAGGCGGGGGAGACGCGGTTCGGGTTTTCCACCCCCAAGACAAGAGCGGCATTGACGATATATATAGTTGGTCAACACTGCCATGTCCAAACAAACATCAAGTCAAGTAGACTTCTGTGGCAATCCTTTCATCCCGTGTTGACATCATAAGCTCACCATCCTTCTTTCGTCTCTGTTGACAACATAGCAATGCCACGGCGCAAGTCGGCCGTGCATGGCCGCGCCGCCCGCGCAGACGTCCCCCAACCGCGCAGCCAAGACTGCTGCCTGCCCTTTGCGGCGCCCCCTCCCGGCAGCCCGCCCCGGACACCCGTGCCGCGCTACCTGTTCCGGGTGTGCTCGCCGCGCTCCGCGGCCGGAGGGTGCACGACGCCGCCCCAGTGGGCGGTGAGCCTGAGCGCGGCCTCGGGCCACGCGCTGTCCCGGACCGACCTCTTCCGGCTCGACGACGCGAATGTCGCGGCCGACATGGTCTTGCGGCACCTCTGCTGGCAGTCTTCTTCACCAGCGCCTCCGCCGCCGCCAGCCGCGGTGGTGGCGGCCGACAACCTCCTGTCGTGGACGAGCTCGCTGCTCGCCGCCCTCGTCTACCTCTTCTACCGACGCGCCGCCGACGAGCTCGGCGAGGTCTGGCTGTGCGTCGTCGACACGACGCGGTTCGCGACCGGCACGTTTATCCGCGACGCGGACCTTGTCGGCGCGTTTTGCGACGACCGCCGTCTGGGCGGCGGCGGCTGGTCCCGCGGCGAGTACCTCACGCAGGGAGCGCTCGGCCTCGAGGGCCGCTGCGCCGCGGCCACGGCGTGCCACATGCTCGACGCTGGCCTGCTCGAGCTGCACCCGCGCTTTGCCCGCATGGCGCGCTGGTCGAGGCAGGACGCGGCGGCGGCGTGTGGCGGCGTCATGGCGGAGCTGCGCCGCCCGTTTTACGAGCCTCGGGATCCGCCGGCGGGCAGACGACGCGTGTTTGCGAATGATGCCCAGATTATGAGCCGCATCGGGGACTTGTTTGGCGTGGGCTGGCGCGCGCCTGTCGCCGTGGCGCTGCTGTCCTTGGCGCCCAACAGGACGGGCGCGGGCGAGTTGCTGCTGAACTTTGGCAAACTCGGTCAGCAGTGGGGTGTGTTATCTTCATTGTTTCTTTTGGGAAAAGGAGCGGCAGATGCTAATGAAGAGTGAGTGGTAGATCCCATCACCGAAAACTGTCTTGACCCGACATGCACGGCGGCAGTGAACCTGGACAATGAGGTGCCAGAGGTGGCCGAGTTTATACACAACCTCAATGATGCGTACCGAGAATTCTGCGACGCCAGAGTGCGCGGTGAGTCTCTTTCTCTCTTGCTTCTTCGGCTGGACTCTTGTACTGACTGCGGACATTGACCTTGACTTCAGAACACATCGACGACGTGCTTCAAGCCCTCGATGCGGCGCGGGGTCTCATGCAGTTGGCGGACAGTGTGCAGCAGCCACCAAGAGACTATACAACGACGGAGCAGAGGCTGCGCATGTCCAGGCTCGTTCAAAAGGTAAAGGACGCGGTACAGGAATGTCGTGCGCCGCGGCCGGCAGAGCCTTACCGGTGATGGGCGCGCCAGGCCAGCAATGAGGACGGCGAAGCAGATGAGAGAGACAATTGACCAAGACACGGGGTCATCATAACACTGCCAATTTGGCCTTCTTTGTATTTTTCTTTTGATCTAGTATTTTGTCTTTGGCTCGTGCGGGTTTTTTGGGCATATACGCGGATCGAGGGCGTAGACAGTTGCCAACAGGTTGGCTACTAGCATCACTCCTATCGAACAAACCACGCTGCTTTGACCGGGATTGTTTTATTATCCATTTTCAAAAAGTTTAACAAAACACATGTCCAATACACACCAAGACCTGATTCTCCTTGCCTGTAGAGTCGTGTCTTATTGAAGTATATGTGTTACTCCGACAGATGTCGAACGCTAGTCACTTTTCCGTGCATTTTACACAACTCGAACCCAGGTTCTGTTTCCATCTTGCTTTGAAAGACAAAGCTGGCGGCTAGGCTACTACAGACTAAAAGATGTGGATGGAAGAGTGAGAACTGGACTGCGCCGCATCTATCTGATCAAGTTGGACTGCGGAATATTGCGAGACAGCGCGTTTACCACGTTCTGGCACGGATCCTGACTTGGAGACGTTCAGCCATTATCCCGCTTCCACTGTGCCTGATGTGTTGGTGGTTTGGGCAGGAACTGCTGCAGTTTCACGGGGTGGTTCTGTAGATTCGGTAAGCTAATGTTGGTAAAGACCAAAACAAAGTCGCGTAACAAATACACGAAACAGCGGCTGGCTGATTTAGAGCATTGAGGTCATTAATCTCGCACAATATCTGAAGTTGAGGAAAAGAAATGATATCGCTGACCAAAGCGGCCAATCAAGGTACCCGCACCTATTCCAATGCTATGGTATTTACTTTATATTTGAAAAACGCACGCCATGCCAGAAAAGAATACGCTCGCGATGCAGTTGTGCGGCTCTACACGAGCCATCCGAAATCTATATATGCGTAATCAATGTTCGGTCCCCATTTCGACGAGCCTGTATCCCTCAGATGAAGCGCTCTTCTTATATCGTCTCCTACACGACACGGCACCCGCGACAGTCAGCACACAGGCAGCAACAACGCCAGCCACGGATGCGAGAACAAGCAGATCAATGGCGCCAATCAACAGCGACCAGCGGCTGGGCGGATCAACTTCAGCCGTCGTCCCGAGCGTGACGCCTCCCACATCCACGGCCTGCACGCGAATCTTGCTATACGTCCGCCTCAGGTTAGCAGCCGAAAAGGCCGTCTCGAAGTGCTCCTTGCGCATCTCAGCGACGTCCTCAAAGTCGCCATCGCCATCGCCCGTGCGGCCCTGGAACCGCCAGGCAGCGACCTCGGTGGCGCCGTTCCAGCTGACGTAGACGCTGCGCCCGACGACGGCGACGTCCGGGGGCGCGCGGGGCTTGCCGACCCAGCGGCCGCGGTAGGCGCGGTACGAGCTGAGCGGCTGGAACGCGAACCAGGCGGCGGGCGCGAAGCGTGCGTCGCAGAGGACCTCGCCGTCGGGCGCGAACTCGGTAAAGGCGGCGCTGCTGCCCCAGCCGACAAAGAGGTTGCCCGACGGCAGCCGCTGGGCGTTGCCCTGCGAAAAGGCCATGATCTGCTGCGGCTGGCGGTAGGCGGTCCGCAGGGTTACGGTCATGGTGGCCAAGTCGACCTGCAGCGTGAGGCCGCGCGACTCGGTGCGCGGCGCCGCGTGCGGGTCGTAGGCGTTGTTGTCGAGGAGCGTGATGGTGCCGTCGTCGGCGTGCAGCCGGGCGTGGTGCTGCCACGCAAAGAGGACGTTGGTGCCGAGCGGCACGACGGCGAAGTCGTTGAGGGCGCCGCCCATGTGCCAGACTGGCGCGCCGCTGGAGCCGTTGATGTAGGTGAGCGAGGACGTGTGGCGGCCGGAGACGAGGTAGTTGCCCTGTGCGTCTTTTTGCACGCTGTTAATGTGGTAGTAGTCGAACGCGGCGTCAGGCGTGTGGCCGCAGCCGAGAAAGGCCCTTTTCGGGTCATCGCTGCAGCCTTTGAGGGGCTTGCGGGAGGTGTGCAGGGGGATGTGGTCCGAGGCGTGCCACTCGAACAGCACCTTTCCGCTGTCGAGGTCGACTTCTTGAAAGATGCCGTCGAGGATGTAGCCTTGCGCGGCGCCGCCGATGGGGGACAGGTCGGCCGGGATCGGGCTGTAGATGGTGACGAGCGCTGTGCCGGTGGGTGTCAGCTCAAACTCGTGCATGTCACCGAATTCGAAGCCCGGCGCCGAGATATTGTGACGAATTGTATAAGTGTCGTCCATCTAATAGGGGTTGTGTTAGCCAAAAGCGATCCACTCCTTGCGCCACTGGCGCTGCGATGCCGAGATCCGCCTCATCGTACGATCGAGGAGAAGCTCTTACCAGATACCACAACCCCTGTTTGGTGCCGCCGTCGGGCTTGCCGGCCCAAAATGTCAAGAACTGCTCGCCCTTGTATTCTTGCACGCGAAAGTCGTGCACTTCGTCAGCCATCCGGGGCTGGCGCCAGACGAGCTCGCCCGTGTGGTCGAGGATGACGGCGCCGGGCTCGGTGCCGGAGCCGCGCGTTGCGAGGAAGATCTGGTCGCGGCTGCAGCGGCGCTCGCGGCGCTCGAGGAAGCGCACGTCGATGGAACGGTGCGCAAACGAGTGGTAGCGGCGCATCGGTGCCATGCCCGAGGCGCCCATGTCGACCCAGGACCAGTCGCTGCGCCAGTGCACGCGGTTCAGGAGCGCCGGCGAGGACCGCGGCACGGCGAAGAACAAGGCGACGGCCGCGAGGAGGAGGAGCGGGAGGAGGAGCAGCCGCTTACGCAGCAGCCACGGCAGCGGCGCCAGCAGCTTGGACATGGTGATGGCGAGGAGGCGGCGGGGGGGAGACACTGGTTGGACGCTTGTCGCAGCATCCTGCAAACCGGGCGATGATGGGAGGCACCAGGGATAGGGTTGAGAATTTGAGCCGGGGAGTACGTTGGGTGCGCGTTTCAGGTCTCGTGTCGTGGCTGAAGCAAACAGCTACGAAATTGGAGCCTGCCAATTTTGTGGGCTGGGCTGACTGACAGGTACCTAATACGATGCAAGCGTTTCCCTTGTTGCGCCAACAAGCAGGACTATACTGCTAGTGCTTCTCGATTCAAAGCATGACTTACGAGTAGTTGTAAAGAAAAAAAAGCTGGTAAAGCTGTGAACAGATTACACGAACGTGCAAAAAAAGGGGGGCGGACAAAAAAATCGAGGTCACGCCCGGGCTCGAACCGGGGACCTTCTCGGTGTTAACGAGGTGCCATAACCAGCTAGACCACGCGACCCTCTCTTGTTAACAGCACTTCACTTAATTATAATTAAGGAGGCAAAACAATAAACTAAACTACTGAGCTTGACGTACCATGGTCAGTTGCTCGACATATTTCTTTGATTTAGAACTGAGAAAGTTTTCAAGTGCTATGCGAGTTTGACTCACCATGACAATTTTTTTGAAATCAACTAATGATGAAATCGATATTAGTAAGGTCGATTGGTAGGTAGATTTAATAATTCTTTTGAACCTAGTAATAATAATGTTAGTTTTCGTCTCCCGTCTTAGCTAGCCGCTTGTGAAGCATATTTGATGATACTGGGCAAAATTTCTTTCCCATCAGCAATATATTATTATTTTTTCCGCATGATTTCAACGCTATTTTGACGCTAGTAAAGCCTATCTGGAAAATATTACCCGTAAGGCTGTGGACTGGAATAAAAATATTCTGTCTCTGGCGGTTCCGCTGCAAAGTATGTGTTTATTGCCAACCTTGTTGCTCAAGGGCAGCCTGGTCAAGTGTATAAAGCCCGGCATTCCCAGGTTCTCTCTTTCCTTCTTCTGGATTTCTCCTCACCCTGAAAAACTCACCTTATCCCTCTTGTTCCTGACCCAAAAGATTCACATCTTCGTCCCTCCCCCTCCCCAACACCTATTTGCTACCCTATCAAGCAAACCTCTTTCGCCAACTCCTGCAAGTACCTTGACAAGCAATCTACATCAAAGCTCAACCATGATTTCTGCTCCAAGAAACTGCCTCAAGACCCTCGCTGTCACCGCAGGGCTCCTTTCTCTCGCCGGCGCTGCCCCGGCCCGCCCGCATGACCTCGGCGACACGAATACCGTTGCTGTGACGGCCGTCCCCAGTCTCACTGCTACTGATGAGGCAGAGTCTGCTTCTTCTCTGGACTATAACTTCCCCGAGTGGCCTGCTCTCGAGAGCAATGGCGCGACTAGGGACATTTCGGAGAAAGATCTCAAGCAAGTCGCCGGCCGCCTTGGTCTGACCAGTACGTACACACCCCCTCTTAGATAGCATTCATACTTGCTCTTCCCTCTTCACCATTTCTATATACCCAGTGTGGAACTTGTTTACTAAAATCCATGTAGTGAAGCAAATGAAAAACCTCCAGATCGACCATGCTGACCCCGAGTTCGCCGAGGCCACCAACGGCACCAGCCCTGACTTGAGCGACCTCGACTTCCTCAAAGACTCGTCCAACCGTGGCCTCATCACACCGCGCGGCGACCCCATAATGGATTTAATAGACAGCGTGATCTCGAGTTTCATTGGCCGCCGCAGCGGCGACGCGTTCGAGAAGACCAAGTATGAGAAATGGAATAAGGGTCGCGCTAACAGTTATGGCTTCCGGGTCGGCCTCCTCAACGCCACGCCCTACCGTTGGGAGCGCATGGGCGACGTTGCCAACGACTGTAGGAGGAAAGGGGAAATCGAAACTGCAATTGAAATCATCGAGCCCGGCGCGGCCATCACCGCCTTTGAGGAGTCGGTTTGGTTAAGACCCCAGTGCACCAAAGAGGTCAAGTACAAACTGGTCGGCACCAAGGAAGACATGTGGTTCACGCTCCACACCCACAAGAACACGGCCACCATCGAGTACGGTGGCGCGCTCGAGACGATGGGCGGCGGCGAGGCCGGCAGCGGCCGCAACGCGCGCGGCAGCATCTTGGACCTCGGCCTGAGCACGGGCGCCTACATGGTGACGTTTGCGCTCGCGGGCGTCGAGGGCAACTTCTTCGCCAACGACGTGCCGACCAACTGGATGAACAGCATGATGGACGAGATTGGTAACTACACGCTCCGCGACGTGCTGCTCCCGCGCTCGCACCACAGCGGCATGTACGTGGTGCGCAGCCACAACGGCGTCGGCACGGAGCACAACACGGAGACGCAGAGCTACAACATCTATCACCAGCTCAAGGTGGGCGGCGTGCGCGTGCTCGACTGCCGGCCCACGGTTGCCACCAACGGGCGCGTCCACGAGAGCCACGGGTCCAAGGTGCTCGGCTTGTGGCACGGCGCGCTCGGCGAAGACTTTGAGACGGCGGTGCAGATGATCAACCAGTTCAACAAGGACTACCCGGGCGAGCTCATCATCGTCGACGTGTCCGGCGCCGAGATGCTCGAAGGCCGCAAGTTCACCTCGCTCAAGGCCGACGGCGTCGCGCGCGTCATTGACATCTTCAAGGGGCTGGAGAACCGCCTCGTGCTCAAGCCCGGCGAGGACATGACCAAGCTGCCGCTGAACGAGCTCCTCGTGGGCGGCCGGTCGGGCGTCGTCGTGCGCATGGAGGAGTGGCGCATCCGCGACGTCGACAACTGGCCCGGCCCGGCCGAGGGTTTCGTCACGCCCACCGAGATGCCGCTCCGCAAGCACTGGACCGACGAAGAGAGACCGCGCAAGGTGGCCGAGGACCAGCTCCGCATGCTGGAACGCCAGCGCGAAAAGGGCAACGCCGAGCCGCTGTACAATGCCGAGCTGCTCATCGTGCAAAAGGGCATCAACCTCATCAACGGCAGAAAAATCACCGAGCTCAACGACCCTGCCTGGGTCATGCTCATCGACACTTTTTGGCTCGCCTTTCGCGGCGTCGTGTACCCCAACTGGATCAGCATGGACGCCATCCGCGGCGACCAGCTCCGCGCCGTCTCCGTCGCCGTCAACATGTGTTTTGTCGCCAAGCGCTGCGGCACCCTCGGGGGGCGCGTCCCCGACGCCCCAGCCTGGGCCCCGGTTTCGGTGACAACCAACGACACTGACACCACCATTACCAACACAACCAACTACACCAACATCACCGACACCAACATCACCGACACCAACATCACCGACACCAACATCACCGACACCAACATCACCGACACCAACATCATCGACACCAACATCACCGACACCAACATCATCGACACCAACATCACCGACACCAACATCACCATTACCACGGCGGACAAAATGTAATGGCCGCAAACCGTACGATATGAGGCCCCATCAAGGTCTCTGCGGGGGGCACAGTACCGCTTCTGTACGATATGAGGCCCTATCAAGTGGTCCCTGTGGGCGGCACTGTACCACTTCTTTTGTGCCTTGTTCACATGCGCACAGTAACGAATGAAAGTTGATGGGCACAAGCTGCAGAGATGGGCACTTTTTAGTGGTCTCTGCGCTTGGGCATAATAACATCTCTTTCATTCTATTTTATTGGATTTTTCCGGATCCCACTCGAATCGGATACCGGAGTTTAGCAGATTGTTTATGGAGTTACTATTGGATTTCCTATGAGTTAGTTTTGGATTTACTACGGAGTTTCTTTTGGAGTTATCATTGGACATCTGTTGTTTGAAGATTGCTTTTGGATAGTTTGGAGTTGGGCAGGCTGTTTCTATCGATACCCAGGGCGAGTACTACGACCCAAGTTTGTCTTTTCTTTCTTTTTTTTTCCTTTTTTCCTTTTTTCTTTTGTTTCTTCAATACTTAATAATTAATAGAAAATTTCCAAAAAAAGAAAAAAAGAAAAAAAAAAGCAGCCTTGAGTCTTAACCTGTGCGTAATTGATCACGCTGGGCTAAATACTTCCCTTGACAGGAAATCGACTCAAGAGGAAACCTGGAGCGAGGGTCACATTGCAGTAGCTTATCAAATCAGTTCACATACATGGAAGAGTTGGATGCCTTGCTTACATGAGTGTATCATTACAAAAATATCTAGTCCTAAGGCTGAAATCCAGAAATAAATTCGCAGTGATCAATGTAGTGATCCCTCTACCCAAACGCCAAGCTGTGAATGCAACAAACAGGCCAGTTCCATATAGCATGCCAAAGTCTAGTTTATTTTCCTAGGGTATTACGACGAGGAGCCGTTCGTCTTGTTTCGCCGCACGAAGCGAGGAAGTACACCGTTGTGGTGGCCGCTAGGGCTCGTCTCAGCCATGCTGGGACTAGAACCCTTAGACGACGAGGATCGCTTCAGGCGCTGCGGACGGCAGAAGCAGCCCATGGCCGAGTGCAGCAAAAAGGCCAGCAAGGTGACCAGGGCGGCAATCCACATGAAGACAAACATCTTGATACCGATATCGGCGGTGATGTTGAGCTGGTCCTGGGCTGTCAGGGCGATCCTGGCGGCGACGCTGATGACGGTGGCAATGACGGCGGCGACGACGAGGACAATTACGGACAGCAGGCCAATGATGGAGATGAAGAGCGAGAACAGGCGACGGCGGGTGGCCAGGGGCGTGAGGAGCAGGAGGACGACATTGAGCACAGTGCCGGCCATGAAGCAGCCGTACATGACCTGTGAACCGATGCGCAGGAGCTTGAGAATGGTAATGACCTGCGAGGGCAGGGCTATCTTGGCACCGGCGAGCAGCTCGCTGACGAGGACCTCGACGGGGTTGAACCAGTAAAACTGCTTCGGCTTGGAGCAAAAGGTGACGCCTCTGTGTGGGTAGGTTAGTCGCAGGTGTGGGTGCAGGAGCCGAGCGGGAGATCATACTCATCGATAAAGCCTTCGCAAAAGTTCCAGAGACCGACAGAGTAAAAGTCGTGGAGGCCGAGGCTGCGGGCCACCGAGTTGAGCAGCTGGGAATTGTCGACGGCAATGGGGATGATGTGGGAGACGTCGAGCTTGAAAAAGTAAATATCGTTGAGGACGCCATTGATGTGCGTGTTGCCGATGAGGACGAGGATGAGGAAGGGTATCGTGATGAAGTAGCACAGGGCGGCGACCAAGGTGGTGTTGCGGCGCGCCTTGGGGGGAGCCATGGCTGGTTGTTGTTGGTGTGCGCGGCTATGAGGCGGCCTATTGAGGAGGCGTCGTGGGGGGGTAGAGGTCGTGCTACTCAGCGTCGATGCATGTCCGTGGGTTGACTGGAGAGTAGTGGTGATGTGGGTGGTTCAATTGAAGATACAGCGTCACAAAGAAAAGAAGAAGAAAGAAGACGAGAATAGAAGGATAATAGACAACGAGTGTGTAGATAGCTGGTTGGATGACGTGGGAGGAGTGGAAGAAAAAAGTGGCGGCGCCGTCGTGGCCGCAGAGCTAGGCGGTACCTGTGGGAGGGGAGGAGAGCTTGACAGCGACAAAACAGAGGCGAGAGAATTGCAGTGGAGGCGGGAATAAGTCCAGTGGGTGCCTGGCGGAGACACTGGAAAAGCTTAGCGGCAAAGGTGTGGAATACACGGATTACGGAGGCTTTTAGCGATGTTGATAGGTGCCTATTATTACGGTGCATCGACCAACGGGTGAGACATTGGATAATGGAGACTCTTGAGGTTTCCAGGGCTGAAATCAAGGAAGCTCTTTATTAGACTCGTGTTAGTGCATGACAGGGACGCTTGGCAGGCAAAGGGTAGGAAAGGGGTAACGGGGGAGTGAAGGAGCAAATGCATGCTCGGAGGTAGAAAATAAAGGTAAAAAACAAGAAAAGAGGTAACTACATGTGTAGGTAGGTACCTACCTATAAAGAAGCAGCCTTCGGTCGGGTACCGGCATAATCACACATTTGACATGTTATTCTTAGTACCGAGTACAAATGCAGCCAAGCAGCGCCATGGAAAAATCAGCAGCCCTGATTACGCGTTCTCGTAGCGACCCGGCGTCCGATAGAGTAGCCCCGAGCCCAAAGATCACTAGAGTACCGGCTAGCATTCTTTCTCTCGCAGCAATCGTTCCAGCCCTGTCAAGAATCTCTATTAGAGAGCATTATTGAGTGGATAAGAAAGATTTCCTAAACCTTGTTCCTCGTCTCGACATTTCAATCCGTACTATGTATCAATGTGATGAGGTCATGACTGTACTGAAACAGCTTAGCGGCCTGCCACACCGGCGGTTGGGCGTTGCGGATCAGCGTCTCCGCTGCGATGAGGCTCAGCCCCCAACGTGCGTTGTCTGCGGCGCTCTCGCCAGCGAACGCCGCACGGTAATTACAGTGTAAATTCTCAGTTATGAATCTTGGCCGCAATGCTCAAGACTTGCAAAAAAAAAAAAAAAAAAAAAAAATCGTAAGACCACTATGTGAGGTAGTCATTGTCGTGACTCGTCAGTGCAAGTTGTGCTCTGCTTGAACCAAGCCACATCTTCGATAGCCGCCGAGGCTTCCGCACTCCGACATTATGCCTTGGAATCATCAAACATGCAAATAAAACAGCCCAAATCTTGGTCTAGGTGTCCCACCCATTTGAAATCCCCGACAGAAGAGAGTCCAGACCTTGGCAGACAGGCAAGCAAATAGTTTCATCTCGGCACTGGGCATGACACCGACTGGTGCCACATAGAAGCTGCCCACCCTGGTCGACGTCACTAGCGCCATCAGTAAACTCCCCGGCGTCGTGCCTGCGCGTCGCACACCTCGCTCAAGTACTCCCACACCAATCCCACGCCAAACTTTGATAACCTCACTCAACAACCACACCACATCAGCACTCGTTTGATTCATTCCTCTTCTTCTGCCGCACACTACACCTCCTTGGGCTACAGTCCCAATCCATTGGTTGTTGCGCAGCTTTGCCAACTCATCACCAGCGCAGACAACACATCTCCCGTCACGCCGCCGTCATGAGGCCATCCCTCGCGGCCGTCGGCGCCGTCCTCGCCCCGGCCGGCCTCGCCCAGGTCGTATCCTACAGCGACTCCTCGGGCCTGACCTTTTTTACCGGCACGCGCACCAACCCGCCCTCCTCGTCCACCGGGCCCCCGAGCGGCGCCTACACGAGCTACGGCACGCAAATCACCCTCACCGGCAGCAACGACACCACGACGGCCTCGTCGACGTCCACACCGACCACCATGACCACGCCGACCAGCGCGTCCAACGGCACCACCACCTCGGCCACGCCCACCAACACGCAGCCCTGCAACAACTACGTCGAGTTCTGCACCCGCCGCTACAGCAACATCAGCTTCGTCGGCGCCCACAACTCGCCGTTTGTGCGCCCGGGCAACTCGGCCTCGAACCAGGCGCTGCCGGTCAAGGTGCAGCTCAACGACGGCATCCGCCTCGTGCAGGCGCAGATGCAGTGGCCCACCAACGGCACCGAGCCGCACTTTTGCCACACCTCGTGCGACATTCTCGACGCCGGCCCGATTGACGAGTGGCTGACCGAGGTCCGGGAATGGGTCGACGACCACCCGTACGACGTCGTCACCATCCTCCTCGGCAACGGCAACTACTCGGACGCCTCGCTCTACAAGCCCTACATTGAAAAGAGCGGCATCCAAAAGTACGCCTACACGCCGCCGCTGCTGCCCATGAAGCTCAACGACTGGCCCACGCTGCAGGACCTCATCCTCCGCGGCAAGCGCGTCATTATGTTTCTCGACTACAATGCCAACCACACGGCCGTGCCTTGGCTGCTCGACGAGTTCTCGCAGGTCTGGGAGACGCCTTTTGATCCCACCGACACCTCGTTCCCCTGCACCGTCCAGCGGCCCCCGGACCTCAAGGCCGACGACGCCAAGGACCGCATGTACCTCATGAACCACAACCTCAACGCCGAGTTCAACGTCTTTGATATTCAGCTCCTCGTCCCCGCTGTGTCCCTGCTCAACCAGACCAACGCCGCCGACGGCAACGGCAGCCTGGGCATGGCCGCCAACAACTGCCGCACCGACTGGGGACGCGCTCCCAACTTCTTAAACGTCGACTACTACAACTACGGCTCCAACAAGGTCAACGGCTCCGTCTTCCTCGCGGCCGCCCGTCTCAACAACGTCACGTACAATCGCACATGCTGCGGCATAGTGTCTGCCGCGCCAGGCCTGGCCAGCCCTGCTTATTGGGCGGGTGCTGCAGTGCTTATGTTGACGGTGTTTTTGAACTTGTAAGCTTGGAAACTTGTTTGCATTTTGTGGCAGCTCGTTTTTTCTTTTTCTTCTTTGGGCAGTTGGGTTATACGGATGCGCTTTGTTTAGCGCATCTGCCTGCATCAGCATGGCGTTGAACGGCTTTTGGTACATTGGGTAGGATTAATATTATAACCTGTTCCTCTTTCAAAATAGACATGATTTTTGGTTCTCGCGACAGCAACTGTTTGATGTCCGGCTGTAACGACGGCCATGACTGCAATAAACTATCAGCCGCAAATCGGGCTTCGAGTATTGATGGACCAATGGTATGCCGCCACACCCGAGATGGGAATACGAGAATGGCAATGCGGTCTTCAGCCTCATCAGTACCTACCGTAGTTCGTGGTAGCGGTGGGAGGCCGCTGGGTCGCATTGTGGCTTGCCGGCTCCACGTCAGGGGATGGTCTCGTACACAAGGCCTACATGTGTCTGCAGATTCCTCGACAAGAGAGAAAATGACAGGCTACGGTTTCCTGATCTCGACTTTGCGCACCTTTTCCTCGAGACCGTTCACGCTAAGAAGAAACGAGCCACGTTGGCTTAAGCTCCAGCGCTAGGCAGCCTGTACCGGCGAGGCTTAAGCTTGCAATATAATAAAGAAAGGCAAAAAGTGGAATCAAGCCTCACAAACGCCCCAAGAATAGCCCCAAGCCAAGAATAGAGACGCTGCGCAGCCAATGGCGACTCTTTCGCGCGCCCACTTGCTCGACTTCAGCTGCAGCGCCCTGGCGCCAGCTGATTCCTTTCCATCCCGCCGCGTTTGTTCCAATCCGTTTCCCTTCTTTATCGCTCGTTTCTACAATACTGTTTCCCCTAATTTGGCAAGATTTCATTCTCTACAATCCACAGCCAAACTACATACTCCCCCCACCGCAACCGTTTGCTTTCACCTGGGCCGGTGCAGCTTAGCGCCTGGACGCCTTTAGCCCTGAACGACCACAACAATTCGACACTCTCCTAGACGTGCTCCCGCGTACGACCATGGTTTGGTTCCTAGAGTATGGATCCTCATAGCGATCGAGGCAAGGAGCGTTTGCGCCAGGGTTACAACGCCGCCGCCGCCGCCGCCGCCTCACCTCTACCCCAGCCCTTTCCCGAGCACGAGCTGGCGCATCAAAGCTCCAGCATCTTCGATGTCACCGACATTGGCATCAGCCCCTACGAAGCGTCCGCCGTCAGCGAATCGGTCCTCACCAGCCCGATTTATGCCGTGACCTCACCGTTGTCGTTGTACAGCAGCGGCGGCAGTACTGTCGGTGTCTCGCCATTTAGCGACCAGCCACCGCTGCCCTCTCGACGGCCCTCGTGGCGCGGGCCGCTCTCGTACGCCGGCTCGCAACGGTACGCGCCGCTCGGGGGCGACCACGAAACTGCGAGACCAGCGTCCGGACGACGGTCCTCGGCGACGAGCTTCCGCTCGCGGAGCAGCTATGCACCGTCCATTGGCAGCATCATCCCCGAGCACGGCGACGACGACTCGTACGCCATGACGCTGCTCGCACACCCGGCGGCCATGGGCCTGACGCCTCTATCTCCTCAGCACCATCGCCAGTTCTCCGACGAGACGCCCCTGTCGCCGGTAGGCTTCGACGTGGGGTCGGCCCTCGGCCCGCTTTCCACGAACGACAACGAATACATGGCCCAGTGGCAGCAGCAGGAAGCGCAGGGCATGCTGTCCGGCGGCCTGGGTGCGGGCTTTCGCGCCGATGCGACGCTCCGCGACGCCGAGCTGCTCGCCACCACCACGCCGACCAGCGCGCGCAGCATGTCCCGGTCGTTTACCTTTCGCCGGCCCTCGAAACTGCCGACCCGCGCCGAGACCATCAAGACCCGCGGCCAGGACGAGGCCGACCGGCTGGGCCGCGTGATTGAGGTCATCATCGAGGAGCCGAGCGCGGACCTCAGCAGCGTCGAGGGCAGCCACATGGCCCTCCACGAGCAGTCGCCAGACGAGCGGCGGCGCTCCACGTTGCTCGCGACAGCGGCGGCGGCGGCGGCGACGCCTACGCGGCAAATCTTCTTCCCCAAGCCCAACTGGAAGCCGTGGTCAATGCGCTGGCCGCACCTGACGCTGCTGGTGCTCGTGTCCATCGGCCTGGCCGTCATGCAGGAGGTGCTCTTCCGGCGCTTCCACAACTCGCCCATTCTCACATTTCACTCGCCCAAAGAGGTGAAGCCGCTCATCTACTTTGCCGTCAAGTTCCTGCCGACGCTCGCGGCCGTCGTGTACGGCGTGCTGTGGCAGTTTACCGATTTCGAAGTGCGGCGCCTCGAGGCCTTTTACCAGCTGTCCAAGGACGGCGGCGCGCTGGCGTCCGCGTCGGTCAATGTCGACTATGTGACGAGCTTCAACCTGGTGCGTCCGCTGCGCGCGCTGCGGCTCGGCCACTACACGGTCGCTGTATCGTCGCTCGGCACGCTGCTGGCGGGCTCGCTCGGGCCGACGTTTGCGGCGGCGACGGTGATTCTGACGCCCAGTCTGCACGAGCGCAACACGCACCCCGATGCGGAGAAGACGCTCACATTCTCGCCGACGTGGTCGCGGTTGCTGACGTCGACGCTGGCCGTGTGCGCCGTGCTCGCCGGCGTGCTCTTCGTGCTGCTGCAGAAACGGCGCTCCGGCCTCAACTCGGACGTGCGCGGCATCGCGGGCCTCGCGTCCATGGCGGTCGTGAGCCACATCCTCATGGACTTCAAAGACATGGACACGGCCACACACCACGACATTCATCACAAGCTAAAGTATCACCGCTACATGCTCAAGAACTCGTCGCTGGCGCCGGATGATGAGAACCCCACGACGAGCCAGGACCGGGAAAAGTACAACGACGACGACGACGCGCTGGGCCACATGTCGGACAACCCGCACCCGCTGATGCTGCGGCCGGCAGGGTGCGTGACGTTTATCCTGGCGTTGGTGGCCTTTATGGGGTTTGTCCCCGCGTTTGTGTTTACGGACGCGGGCGTCGTCACGGACAAGGCGCCGTGGTTCGCGACAGCGTGGGCTGTGTGCCTGAAGCTCTCGTGGCACGGCATGGAGACGGCGGTGCGCATGATGGAGCCCTACTACATCTTGTCACGGCGGCACGCGCCGTCCAAGACGCTCACTCTCGACTACACGGCGCTGCCGTTTGGCTACCTCCCGCTGCGGGCGCTGGCCAACGGGCACCTGGTTGTGTTTTTTGTCGGCTTCGGCAGCATCCTCGCCGAGTTTCTGACCGTATTTGTCACGGGCTTGACGACGGCCGACGGGCAGGGCTTCGTCAATGCCTACCGCCGGGAGGACGGCAGCAGCAGCCCGGACAACGCCAAGAGCATCTACGCCGGGCAGGACACGCTCGTGTCCTTTACCGTCAGCTTTGGGCTGACCATGTTTGTGCTGCTGTACATGACGGTGGTGGCGACGGTGGTGTTTGCGCGCCGGCGGCACCCGTTCTTGCCGCGGCAGCCCAACACGATTGCCTCGGTGCTGGCGTTTATCCACCAGAGCAAGATGCTGTACAGCTTTGTCGGCACGGCCAAGCTGAACAGCACGGAAATGGCGAAGCGCCTGCGGGAGATGGGCGAGCGGGCGGGGGGCGCGCCGGTGACGTACGGATTGGGCTGGTTTGAGGGCCGGGATGGGCAGACGCACTGCGGCGTGGATCAGGAAGAGCTGATGAGCACGTATAAGCATGGTGTGGACTACTCAATGGGGAACAAGCCGTGGAATACGCAGTGGGATGTGTTGTGAGAGGGATCTACGGTGGTGGGATGATGTGATATGTATGTATATACTCTATTGACTCGATGACTATGTATTGATGGACAAGGTGTGCACGCACAGTCAGGATATACAAGAAAATTATACAGTGTGTCAAGGTTTCTACTGTGTAAGCGAGCAACCTCGTATATACTTTTTCGATGGTGGTTTAAATTACAGAAACCATGACAGCCCACGACCACATGGGATTTGATCGGGCCGCGACAGGCCGGCGTTTCATGTGACCAGCAACAAAGGGACGAAGGCAAGTTTAATAGTCGAGACGGCAACAGGATGCCGATGCGGGTTCCATGAATGCCCGGGGATTTTCCTGCCGTGCATGAGAACCGGGATTTTTTGTGACGTGCATTTATTCGATTGTGCATGAGAACTGGTTCTGACGTGCATTTATTTGAATGCGTTGTCGGGAACCCGGCAGCAGGAGGTCAACGCGACGTTGGGGGAACCTGGAAGCTAACGTCAGTCGGTCGACGAATCCGCGTATCCGGGGCTCAGGTGGGCATCAAATCAATAAACACGAAAGGGCTGTGAACAGGTTGTGGTTTGTTGCCAAGAGCATTGGCGCTGGTGGTTGTTGTGGTTGTTACGTTTTGACTGGACTGGGTTTAGGCTTCCTTGGCGAAAAGGCTGTGCTCTAATACAGAGTACAACGGATGGGAGAAGATGACGTCTTTTTTTTTTGTGACAATTTTTCATCTTTGATGCTGCTGCTGGCCTCTTAAAATGACATTTGGAGTTTCGAGTTCTAGTTATTTGACCTATTCAACAATACGATATTGTCCGCCCCCCAATAACCCCTGGCAAGTAGCGTCAAGGTTACCCAGTATTCCGTCAGGTAAAAAAGAGTGGACTAGCGACCAGAACTGGAATCAAGTCAGTGTTGCTGCGGCCACAATTCATATTTCGTTAGTTAGTAATTAGTGAACAAATGGTGGGCAGCCGGCAGGTTTCACAGGCTCATGGCTCAGGGACAGCCCCAGCGGCTAACTATTGTCTGTCCTCGACTGCGTGGCATCCATCGGGCACAGCAGAGCCTCCATAAATTAACCCGATTGTCCCCAGCTTGATTCAATCGCTCCCACGCATCGGCGGGGGAGCTTGTTAGTAACTGCAAAACTGCTATGCGTTGGTGGAGCAGCTCGCGAGAATACGTACGCGGGGTTAGTTACCAGATTCTGGCCGGCCGAGAGTGCGCTGTGAGGAAATCGAATTGTTGAAATTTAAATAAAACGGCTTCGCTGTCAGTTGTTTCCCTCTGTGGTACGTTGGTGGTACAGTGACGGCCTGCGAACCTGCCATCTTGTGCCCTGTTTGCTTCTGACTTTCGTGTCAGCATCCTGTTATCCTGTTAGGGCCGCCTACATCAAACCTGCGCAGGATACATTCACGTCCCCGCATAGCTGTACGCTAATCTCATGTACTGCACAGCCACACGCGCTAGCACCAACAGTATGTATCCCCTGGCCCGCAGCATCCTCTGATTCGCTCCTTGCAGGCGCCTGCAGCCAAAGCTTGATTGGAACAACGGGCTGCAGCCCACTGATCCCACTGATAGCCCTCGCTTCAGCACATTGTCAGTGGTGTTCCTGGGCGCAAAAAATCCACTGTGCCTGGACCTCCCCACTACCCTGGCTAATCCAGCCCACTCGCATCTTGGCTCATCTGCCAAGGTTGGCGCAGTACAGCCCTTTACTGGTCCGCCAAATCCGACGCTGCCCCCCCCCAACGTCCAGAAGGGGGCTGCGTCGTTCCTCAGTCAGGCGGCGCAGTCGAATCCAACCCCCCCCTTACTTCTCTAACCATCTTGGGATCTTGTTTTCCCTCATCATCGGGTCATTTTCATCGGCCAACCTCAATTCTTTCGTTTGTTTATTTTACACGTTTTTGTGACGGATTCCTTCACAAACAAGGGCTTCCTGCAGTGAGGGACAAAAAAGAAATCACTTGTCCACCTCCTGCGTCCACCCTTTTGTCCACACTCGCTATTCCAGCCTTTCTTCTTCTTTCGTTATTATTATCCGTGCTTGCGTCGCCAATTCAATTTACAACCCCTACGTTTTGTCTTTCTCTGGTAGAAAACATTTCTCTCGCTTAACCGATTGTGCATCGCTTCACTTCAGTACCCCTTCGGATATCCTCGTCGACAAGCCTACGATTTCTCCCGTCCAGCGAATACAGCCCCCGACTCTCGAGCGCCTCGTTGCATTCGAACCTCTCTTGCCAGCCAACTCCGACAGCCCCTCCGTTCGCCTCCCGTCGACACCATGCGGTCCTTCTTCAAGGCGCCGCTGCTGCTGCTGGCAGCGGCCGCCGCCCTCCTATCGCCAGCCCAGGCCGAGAGGAGGCTGGAGTCGCTCGCTCTCAGCACCTGTCAGGACAACTCAGGCTTCTCCGCCTCCCTTTTCAAGGTCGTCTTCACCCCCAACAACAACACCGCCTTTGTCTCCATCGTCGCCACCTCGTCCATTCACAGCTACGTCACCTTTGACGTGACTGTCACCGCCTACGGTTATCAGATCATCCGCCAGACGGTCGATCCCTGCAAGACGACGCTCTCTGGTCTCTGTCCCATGGTGGCCGGCAAGATTCCGCTCGACTTGAACCTCAACCTCGGCGACAGTGCCGCTTCGCAGATTCCCGGCATCGCCTACACCATCCCAGATCTCGACGCCAAGGTCCGTGTTCTCGTTAACAACACAGATGGCTCCGGTGCCGTCGCCTGTGTCGAGGCCGACATCTCCAACGGAAAGACGGTCGACTTGGCAGGCGTCAAATGGGCCACGGCCATTATTGCTGGCCTGGCCCTCATCTCCTCGGCCATTGTCAACGGTCTCGGCCAGTACAACACGGCCGCCCACGTTGCCGCCAACTCCCTCTCGCTTTTTGGTTACTTTCAGTCTCAGGCCATTGTCGGTCTCACCAGCGTCAAGATGCCCCCCATCGTCATGGCTTGGACCCAGGATTTCCAGTGGTCCCTTGGCATCATTCGTGTCGGCTTCCTCCAGGATCTCACCACCTGGTATCAGCGCGCTACAGGCGGCAAGCCTTCCACCATCTTTGATAACATGCTCACCCGCTCCGTACAAGTCCAAAAGCGAGGTCTCGACATGGCTGAGGCTACCGTCAACACCGGCGTTGACTTGTTCAACCGAGCTGTCGCCATGGCCCCCAAGGTTGTCCACTCCCTTGCCAAGCGCGCCAATATTGAGACTAGCCAGGGCACTTACATTGTCTACGGCATCCAGCGTGTTGCTTTCCGCGCCAAGATTGAGACGACCAACCTCTTCATGACTGGTCTCATCTTCTTTGTTCTCTTTGGCCTCTGTACCGTACTCGGCGTTGCCGCTTTCAAGGGCATTTGCGAGCTACTTGCTAAGAACCAAGTCATGAAGAACGACCGCTTCCTGGATTTCCGCAACGGCTGGCTCACCGTGCTCAAGGGTGTCCTCTACCGTGTAGCCCTTCTTGGTTTCCCGGGCGTCACACTGCTCTGCCTTTGGGAATTCACCCAAATTGATTCGCCTGCTGAAGTCGTTTTGGCCGTCGTCTTCCTCTTTGGTCTCATCGTTACGCTCGGCTGGGGTGCTAGCAAGGTCATTCGCATTGCCCGCCGCTCCATCGCCATGCACAAGAACCCGGCCTACATTCTCTTCTCTGACCCTCAGGCTCTCAACCGCTGGGGTTTCCTCTACATGCAGTTCCGCGCCCCTGCCTACTACTTCATCGCCCCTGTCCTTGCCTACATCCTCGTCAAGTCGATGGTCATCGCCTTTGGCCAGGGAAATTCCGTTGCACAGGCCATCTGCCTCATCGTTGTTGAAGCCGGCGCTCTCATTGCAGCCTCTGTCATGAGACCTTGGATGGATAAGCCTACCAACTCGTTCAACATTGCCATTTGTGTCATCAACTTCCTAAACGCCATCTTCCTCCTCATCTTCTCCAATATCTTTAGCGCTCCTCCGTTGATGGTTGGTGTTGTCGGCGTCATTCTGTTTGTTCTCAACGCCTCCTTTTCACTCATCCTGCTCCTGATGGTTATTGTGTCCACCACTGTGAGCTTTATCCGCAAGAACCCCGACGCCCGCTACCAGTACATGGCCGACGACCGTGCTTCTTTTATGAAGTCTCAGACCCAGCTCAACGCCACCACCGAGCTTGATGCTCTTGGTGCCACGGCGCGAGGTGACAAGATGGGAGGCTACAAGGCCCCTCTTGACCTCGATGACGACCACGACTCTCTTGTCGACGCTGGCCGCAAGGATCCCTTCTCATCCAACAACCAGTCGCAAACCTCGTTTCACCAGGGCGGACAGGGCCCCAGATCACCCGTCAACCCTTCTATGCCTCTGTTCCCCGGTGCTCGGTCTGAGAGTCCATATCGCTCGCAGTCACCAGGGCCTGGCCAGTCCAACCCCTTTGGCAACCAATCTCTGGGACCTTCGCCGCAAAGGGGACCTATCCCTAACCGCGGGCCGTCTCCGCAGCATGGCCGCGCACCCTCACCACAGATGAGCCGCGGACCGTCACCTCAACTGCAAAGCCGTGGGCCTCCTCCACAGCAACGTCCTCCGCCTCCCAGCCAAGGCAACTATAGACAGCAAAACTCGTCCAGGTAATTACTCGTCGTATAACTCTATCGAATGAAGCTGCTAACAAACTACAGTCCCTGGCAGCGTGGAGCTGGATACGATCACTAAGCGACTCCCTTGACACGAGTTTCCTTGTCATGTGTTTAATTGCATGAGTCGCCTTGGGAGTCTTGTTATATAGGCCCCAAGCTTGGCCATATTTGATTCATCGTTTGACGAGCCACCAATTTGTCATTTTTTTGGTTCCGAAAACTGGCGTTGGGGGATTGGGGTTTCAGAGGCGCCTTGCGAGTGGCAATTTGCTACCCGTGCCTTGTATATACACGAAATTTTCCATATTGGGATGGTAGAAGCAATTGGGGGGTTTTGGGTTAGCTGTCCACGGACAAATACAATGTTGACTACTTGCTGTTGGTTACGTGAGTTAGTGAATGACGGCCAGGCATAATCTTACGGCCGCCGGATAGAAACCTGGCTAGCATGCAATCAAGAACGGAAATTGACGGCAGTACTTTTCTAATCGACTGGACGACAGTTACTCGACTGGACTACAGTTACTCGGAACAGACCAACATGGGCTTGTGAGAACCCTGGCTCGCACGATCGGCCTGTCTTGCTGCTCGCTCTGCCGCCACGTCTGTCCGTGGCAAGAGGTAGGCACCTCCGTAAGTGTGAGTGGTAATAACTAACTAGAGTATTATATCTAATTTCGAGTTCGCGCCGCTGAGTTCCCTCGCTTGAAGCGGAAACCTGAGGCAGTTAGATTTTAGTCCTTTAAACTGTTTGTGAACTTCTTCACGACGGGCCGCAACCGGAGCCAGACAAATTATAGAGGCGAGCAGGCAGACGTGCCACACTTTGTAGCGCCCAACCAACCAACCAACCCCCCTTGCTTGCCCCTATCAAAAACAATGCTCTTGTTACCAACCGAGCCAGGATACTGTTAGCCTTCGTGCAACAAAACAAAGGCTCTTCCAGCAATGATGGACGCGCATTTGCTAGAGTCGCTGTACGTGCGTTTCCGGCATCGTCGCCGCGACGTGAAATCGCCCGTCCGCTGGTCCTCGGAAGACGTACGCCTCCTTGGCTGCCGCTTTGGCGACATGGTCACGATCCAGTCACCCGCGGCCGCTGACGACGATGATCGAGCCAAAGGCAAGAAAGGAGGTGCATCGGTACTGTGGAACAAGGAGGCGGAGCTGGGAAGCAAAGTGCAGTATATACAAAAGGTGCTGACTGCGAAGCGGCGATATGTACTTTTCAAGTAAGGCCCTCTCTCGCCCCTTTGAACGTGCATGCACCCAGGAGAATGGCCCTCGTTGTCTTTGAACATGCACATGCACCTAGGAGAATGTCATTGCTAATGCGAGGAACAGAGACGACAATCCGTTTCTGAGGCTTGGGCAGCGCGAAATCAACACGATACCATTCTCCTTGTTTCTTTCGAGGAAGCAGCATCCGGCAACCGCAAACGCGCCCATGATTGGATACACCGACTACCGTGGTATCTGCAGGGAGCGCTTTGCACAGGCCAGAAGATACCAGCAGCGGCACAGGTTGCCCGTCGCAACTGTAATCCCGATAGCCAGAGACTGGTCGGCAGATCCCTACGTGCTGTGCCTACTGCTTTCCATGGCACAGAGCGCATACGAAACCGATCCGAGCAACGCAAAACGCGACGCGTACCGGGTAAGTTGTTGTTGTCTGTCTGCTCCCGAGACTTTTTTTGTCCCCCGGACCGCGCGTATTGATGCAGCAAAAAAAAAAAAAACAGCCGTGCCTCCTCCTTACGAGTAATTATGACGTCGGCATCATGTACATGTACCAAGCTACCATCCCGTCCGCCCTTCTCGACCTGCTCAGCGACATCTCCATCAAGCCGCAGCAGCCGATACAGCTGGTGATTCACCGCAGACGAATCAGCATTAAGCCGTACGAGGGCTTGGAGGCACGCATCTGGGCTGCGCTGTCGAGCTGGGGTGCCTCGCAAGACGGCGACGCGGCGGACGGGAAAGCGCCAACGGACGCTCAGAGCGACAAGGAGCCGAGCGCGGTGGAAGATGGCGTGCCATCAGCAGCAATTTTTGTATAGTATACACTAGCATAGTCGTCATTTTCTCACAATACTAGTTAAGTGAAAGGAGTAGCATACTGTAGACTGACGTATGGGAGGCCAGCGAGTACCGCAGCCATCACTGCGCAGGTTGCTCCTCGTTGAGCCCGCAACCGAGCCTTGGCTGTGAAGGCGGCTACACTAAGACTATAGTTGTCCGCGAGCTCGACAAGTTGCCAGGGCCAAATCGATCCGGCACCGTCGTAAACGACCCAATACGCCTCATCGCGGTCCCACAAGCATCGACCGGGCTGGCAATGACTCCCACGACACCAACAGCCGCATGGCAACTTCCAATGGCGCATACGTTCCTCCGCGTTTCCGCCAGCACCAGCGCAAAGACCTTGCTGTTCCGGATGCTTGCTGCCGACACCTGGTGGCGCCGGTCAATAACGTCGAACCCGGCAAAGAACCCGCGTGGGTGTCCGTTCTCGGTCCGCAGACACATGTGGCGCCCCTCCGCGCCGTCTTGGTCCACCAGCGTCAGAGGGAACGTGGGAGCCTCGAGCACAATGGACGCCGAGGTGACGTTTCCAAACGGCTGGGCGGCGTCCTCGAGCGTCACCTGGATAGCGGTAATGGTCGCTTCGGGGCGGACGGATCTGGATCTGAACCCGACATCCACGCTGCCGTCAACACTCGCCCAGGACCACGATGGGGCGCTCGTGTCACGTAGCGGTTTGCAACGGTGAGATTGCCAGCATAAAGACTCTACAAGGGTCTTTTTCCAAAACCCAGCCACGTACTCGTCGTCAAGCAGTTGCTGAAATGCACTTGCCACGTTGGACAGCGCCCGGAGTTTGTCAGACGGTGCTGTGGGCTGCCGCTTCCCGTACGCCCGGACGATCAGATTCCACCGATCCGTGACGGTATGTTCGCGGTGGTAGTCGGGTCCGGAAGTCAGACGTGGAACCGTTGTGTAGCATCGTCCTTCTTGAACGCGACCATCTTCGGACCGAAAATGGCCAAGGCATTCGAAAAACAGCTGGTCTCTCGCAAAGTGTACGACGCGTCGCGACAGCACACGCTCCTGAAAGGACCAGATGTTTCTAGAAATGGGCTCTTCTGCCATCTCGATATAGCTCTGAAGCACCTCTTTGCGCAGTGGTAGGATGGAGATGTAGGTCGGTCCCGTGAGGCCTGGGTCCGGTATCTGGACAGAAGCTCGCAAGGGTCGGGAGAACAAGAGTCCGTCTGCCATCTTGTCGGCGCCGGTGGCTGAAATTGTCAAATGTGCATTTTCGTACACGGAGCGAAACCCCGCGGAATCTCTTTCCCGCTCGGGTGCATCTTCAGGAGCACAAAGCTGATCAATCCAGGTGTATCGAATACCCAAGACGCGAGTAACCAGGATAGCATCCTGAAACATCCGAGGAAGACTGGTGGTGAGCATTTCGTCTGTCTCAGCCTGGTGGTTGGACGTCCAAGGGCCCTCGATGCTGTTGTCCTGTACGTAGCTGAGGGCTGTGTATCTTGCCGCGCTTTCCGCGTCCAACTGAACAAGCTTTACGACGCCCTCGGCTTCGGAGCGGCTCACATCGATTAAATGGCGCGGAACGGCGCCGGGGGCTTGGCAGCACTCGTGTTCTTGCTCGCATTCCGAATCCCACTTGAGCAGCTCTCTAAGAGCACCCGCTCGAGGGTCCTGCTGCACCAATGGAGCATGAAACCCATCAGCCAGGGATTTATCTTTATTCATCAGTAAGGATTTCTCCACTCTCTTCCACGGATGGGGCTGTGTCCTACCACCTGCCACGGCAAACCCGAATGCAGCAATCGGGATGATCTCTCTCTCGTCCCGACTTTGCACAGACTCGGACAGGACCCAGAAGCCCTGGCCGCCAAATGGACGCTGCACTAGCCACAAGTCAACGGCAGGTTGGTACGAGGGCCTGCACAGTGTCCGGATGTCTTCGTCCTGGCCCTCAATCTCGGACAGTATCCGATCCAGCTGGTCCTGGATCAGTGCGCAGAGGTCGCATCCCGCCGCCGCTGCGTCCCGCAGAGCCTCGGCGCTTGCATGGTGCCGGACGCTGGACGACCGAGGGTCGCGCGGGAACTCTCTCAGCCGGTAAAGCGGATGGACATGCTGCAGACCCGTCAGACCTTGGCTATGCTGTGGTTCGGGGAAGGGCGGAAGATGGCGAAACGGAATCGCGCTGCAGACGGGGCAAAGAGGCATCGTTGGGGGGATTCAACTGGCTTGTTGAATACTGTTATCGAATCGTGTACTCGGGGCGACCTTGATCGGGCACGAGGGCGAGCTCCGACGGTTTGTGTCAACGTGTACCCAGTCACGGGGAGTCGCAAGGCTGCGTTTCCCCTCAACACCGGGGCGAATCGGCAGCGTGCAACGGCTATATTCGGGTGATTGTATGGCCAAGGTGGTCGAGTATCCTATTGGTGCCTTTTTTTTTTTTTTAAATATGTATTTCCTGTGCAAAGTCGCGGCGCAGAACGAAATGCAAAAGCTGGCCCTTCAGCTTGCTGAACGACGGCTGTAACAGGTCTCGATCGCTCGAATAAATACAGCATTCGAAGCTATCCTAACTATATGAAATGTACGTCTTCTGGGATAGCTACATGAAAACAGAAAGTTATCCGTCATTTTGCACGTATTGGCGCCATGCCCTGCCACTCATCATCATGTGCGACTACTTTCGTATCCTCTGAACAGCTGATTTCGGGTGCGGGGTAATAAGATGCTCGTTCTCGAGAATACAGGACGTGAACTCAAAGGGAATTGGGTGTTTGGCCTCCCGCCCGCCCAACTGCACCATCGGGATCCTACTAGAGTCCAGGCCCCAGTGTCAACGTAATGGGCTGGGAAGAACTAATGACAACTACCATGGGCCTACCTATTACAACAGCTTGTGTGGTGTGCAGTACTGGGTCAACTGGCCCATCTATAGGAGAGTCTTATGCGCGGCTTTGTTGGTCCGCGTCAGTTCCAGTAAATCCTTCGGGGTCCAGACTCAAATGGATGCTCGTACGGCGCACTACGGAATGTAAATGACAATCACGAGGTACCTGTTTGGGCATTTCCACAGAAATCATCGAGTCCTGACAGGGTTGCCAGATGACTTGCGGGGAAGCTGTCAAGCCACTAGGAGAACTGCACGGCTGCCAACTGCGAAGAGCGTCAAAATGTGCTTTACTCGGTACTTGCAAAGGCTGAAGTGAGCTGCTCGTTGTACGCTTCATAGTAGCTTGTTGTTAATATTAATGTTGCCGCGCTAGCAGCAAGCAAAAAATTGTCTAGTCAACCTTGCTCTTTTCTTCCTGTTAAAGCCTAAAATATTTACACAAATTCGGGTACCCTTTCCAATGGTAAGCATGTGTACAATCATGCGAATTCAAACACTGTGATATATTTCGACTTGCCTCACACCAGCTTAACTTGGTAAGACCGAAGGAAAATGCCTCTTCAGCTCTATATCTAGCCGCTGCATGCCGATAGGTTTGACCATGTAGTTGTCCGCACCCGCCCTGCAGCTGTAAGCGATTGTTGAAAAGTAAACACTGGGAAAGATATATGATCCAGGGTCCCTCTGTCGACTGACTGTAGTGGCCAGGCCTTGTTCCACGGGGTGGGCTGGATTGTGAAACCCTCTACGTCTATGTAAAATGGGAATGCCGATTCGGTGTCGCAGATGACTCAGTTTGACGTTCTTTGTGATTCGTTTGATAGATCCTGGATATTCTGCTTGTGTTGTTGTTGCAGACTTGAAGAGATGCGGTGGGTCTGCAACTTCTCTCGAACTGATCAAAGCAAGTTTCTTCCACGATGCAAACCCGGTGTCCCTCGCCTATCCCTCTAAACACAAAACTAACACTTCTCCTAGGGAGAAGCACCTTCGCGCTGCTTTCCTCCTATTAATATACCCACTTCGCGTCAACTGCACATCGGGTCTCCTGCATGCGGATGGCGTGGCGATGCCGCGACGGCGAGGGTCTTGTCCAGGGATGCAGCATATAATCTGTTGCATGCTATATTCTCCGCGTCATGTCGTTTACAAATAACTCGGGCAGGTATTGTTGCCTATGTTGGCATGTGTTACGACGATGAATTCCGTGCCAGTGGAAACCCGAGCCTGCGATCTGCGCCGAGCAAGGTTGTGGACGTACAATATTTCCCAAAATGGAAAAGACAGGAAACCATTTGCAAGGGATTGCCGTGAGCATCGTACGCTTACTGGCGTTGGTCAGCCGTTCTTCTTTGGCTTGATGGCATCGTCAGCAGCATCTATGTGCGGCTGAGGAGCTAGTGAGACCGTGAACGCGCAAACCCAACCCCGTTCTAGGCAGCAAGACTGTACTGGTGATACTGTGATACTTTGGGTAAGGCTGGGACTTTAAACTATATAATAAGGTCAACTCCCGCCAAAAGTCTAATTAGACTCATCATTACCAACCAGCTTCCTCACTCACTCATAGCTCACAAACTTTACAGTTCTCAACTCACTCACCCTCATCACTCACTCTCATCACTCACACCCAGACACACTCACCATGCCTCGCTTCATCTTCCTCGTCAAGGCCACCCCCATGACCGAAGGCCTCCCCGGCCACACACCCCCCGCCGACATTTACGAGCGCATGGCCCAGTACAACGCCGATCTCACGGCCGCCGGCGCCTTTGTCGACGCGGGTGGCTTCAAACCCACAGCCGCCGGCTACCAAGTGACCTTTGACGGCGACAACGGGGCGTCGACGCAGCAGGGCCCGTTTGACGTGGAGAACGAAGCCCACGTCTCGGGCTTCTGGATCGTGCAGGCGGGGAGCGCGGACGAGGCGCTCGGCTGGGCCAAGAAGATTCCGTTTGGACGGGGTGGGGTGACGGTGCGTGAGCTACGCGACAACTAGGCTATCGAACGACGGGCAGTGATTTACTCTGCGTCGTGTTATTAAGGTCGACACTTATCAACACGCCTTCTCGGGCGATGCGATGTCGCTTAGCTATAATGCAGCTGTGATCGCGTAATGGATGTTGGAATAGCGGAGGGAATAGTTTATATGAATATACTGTGATTTACTCTGCGTCGTATTTCGAAAGTCTATATTCGTCAGCACCCCATCTCGAGCGAAGCGAGGACAAAAAGCTTACTCTATCAAGTTGCCGTCCGGATCCCGGATATACAAGCTCCTCATCCGTCCCCTGGAGCCCGTCCTGAACACAATCTCCCCCTCTTCCTCCAGCGTCACGCTCCCCGCCTCCTTCAGCCTCCTCTGCACATCTTCCAGCCTCACCGCGTCGTCCAGCTCGAAGCAGAGGTCCGCCGTGCCCGGCAGCGCCGTCCGGGCCTTGGGCTCAAACTCGGCGCCGCGCTGGTGGAGGTTGATCTTTTGCGCGCCGAAATGCAGCGCGCGCCGCGCGGGGGTGCCCTCGGCGTCCTTGGGGGACACGAACGCGGAGGCGCGCATGCCGAGGTGCGCGGTGTAAAAGGCGATGGTGGCGGACACGTCGGCGCAGGTGAGGACGAGATGGTCCAGGGTCTTGACGGTGGCGGCCATGGCGGGGGTAACTTCTTGGTGGTTGGAAATTGGATGAGGATTGGGGGGAGATGGGAAGTGGTAGCTAGAGACGTTGGCCCGAGGCAAAGCGACGAGGGGTCGCAAAGGTACTAGCTAGCACAATCAAACTCTGCTTATCCAAAAATGTGTAGTAAATATCCACACTCTATGACAAGAGACATTATTATAAAAACGACAACGACGAAACTCGAGACTAAGAGAAAGGTTCTCCTCGCAGAGCTGTCATGTCTTGGTTGTGCTATGTAGAGCCTAGACGTTTCTCCTCCCCGCCCTGTACATCCCCTCACCTTCCCTGCAAGATCCTCCGCCCCGTGGCCAAAAACCAAGACACCGGGCAGCTTCTAACCGTCGGAGCCGACGTCTCGGACCTCAACCCGCCGTCACCGTCATCACCGCACTGCGCGACGCCTTCCCTCCCCGCCCGTGTCGTGTGGCGCCACCGGTGGGCATCCGTCCCGATGCTGAGCCCCGCGCTGGCAGGCGGAGCGCGGAGTCCGACGGCGCCGTCCGTCACAGTGACCCAGCGCGCCTCCGAGCGGCGCCGCGTTCACCACCCGCGTGCTTCGTGCATGCGCCGGCCACTGCGTCGCGCCGGAGGACCTGACATACGTAGGTTGCGCCGCGCCCGCTGCACTGCGGGGGCCGCTGCGTTGCTCTAACGCAGGGGTTATAACGCCGGGCATGCGTGCAGAATATCTCACGTCGGAGCTGCTGCGGGACGAGGATACGGTGCTGGGGCGCGGCCGCACGCCTGGGCGCATCTCGGTCGCGCCGTGGGCCGTGGCCGCCTGCGGAGGACCCCGGCGCGCACGCGACGACTGGCGCAAATGGGGGCTTTGGCGCCGCGGGGGCGCGACGCACCTTGTTCTACAGCACGGCGCGGGAGAATGCGGCGTCGTAGGTCCGCGCACGCTGGGGCTGTGGCCGTTTGGATACACGTGGAAACTTGCTTGTTCAGTAGGGCGACGGCCGATGTAAGACACAATGAGAAATGCACACAAGAGGCTATTTGCATGATATACTGGTGTAGAAAGCAGACGATTACATCCAACTGTTGTTTTGATTCTTATCCAAGCCGGAATTTTATCTCTACTCCTCATCGTCGTCGTCGCCATCGGCAGCGACGGCTTCTGTTTCGTCGTCGCCAGCGGCAGGCGCATCAATGTCCTTGATGACGGCCTTGTGGGCATTGCCATTGGTGGCCTTGGTGTCGTCGGCGTCTTCCTCTTCCTCCTCTTCATCCTCCTCTGCCTCGGCCTCGGGCTCTTCCTCTTCCTCTGCATCAGCAACAGGGGCCGTCTTGCGCTTCTTTACAGGCGGCGCATCGTCTGGGAGGTGTTAGTGTGCAGTTGTTCAAGGTGCGCCGGCGTCGCAATTGCGGCTAGAACTGGCGCGCAAAATGTGGGAATGGACTTACCATCCTGGCCGTTGGCATCGTCATCTTCGGCGTCCTCGCCCTCGGCTTCGGCATCTTCTTCCTCCTCTTCGTCGCCGTAGTCTTCGCCGTCCTCGGAGGAAATATATCTAGTACGCGTCAGCTCAGAGTCTCATATTAATCGGCGATGAAAGCCGGTTCTGGCGATGAATTGCGCGCCAATTGGCCGGCCTGGGTGGCGGGCGCAAACAGCTCAAGGCAGGCTGACAGAAGCGCAAGCGCAGCCATTGCGACCAGACATTGCCGAAATCAGCAAAAGAAAAAACATACTCGGGTTCCTCTTCGCCGTCAGACTCGTCAGGCAGAGACACGAGCTCGTCCTCCTCGTCCTCTTGCTTTCTCTTGCGGGTAGACATGGTGGGTTTGCTTGGTGCGTATAAGCGGGTGAGAGAATAAAGCGAGGGCGCTGTGTTGACAGAAATCAGACCAACCACGACGCGGCAGACAGCAATGAAGCTATCGAAAGCAGCAGCAGTTGAAGAGGGAAGGAGAAGTGATGATGGGTGGGAGAAGAAGACAGAGTAGGGAAAAGGAACGAGAAGAGAGGGACGGCGGATGAGAGGGAGGGTGGGCGAGCGAGCGAGCGAGCGACCAGGCACCACAGCGAGTGTCGGGGCGGCCAGCTCTGGGCTTTGGCGGCTTTGGCCTACAAAGAGAAGAGCCGACAGCGAGGTACAAAAGCTGGGGGCGTGCGGAGGAGGCAGGTCAAAAGTGGGCGATCTAACAGCAAAGTGTGGCGCATTGGCTGGTATTCTGTTAGTGAAACTAGTGCCTCACATCGCTGTTTGCCTTGGGGGTGTTTTTATACCCTCTGTTTGAGGGGTTTAGGGTGTGCGCAAAGGCGCTCGCAGCTCACAAGGCAACCCCCTCAGCACGCTGATCCAGCCTCGAACTTGATACTTGCCATCCAGCAAGGATGGTCTGGTTGGCTACGCTCTCACTCAGTCTTACCAAAGCAAAACAAGAATAACTGCATACTACGGTACTCCTTTCCCCTTTTCCTTTTTTCTTTCCAACACGTAGTTATGGTCTCTCTGGTCTTCTCTCGCTCCTCGCAGCTGCCGGCTGCCAGCTGCCAACACTCAGAGCTGGCTGGCAACAAACACACAACCTGTGCCGCGCCACTGCATCAGCCACACCCACGTTCCTCTTTCATCATCCTCCTCCCCCTCTTCTATCCGGCTCCTTGCATCCGCTGCAATCTCATCGCAGTTTCTCACGCACAACACCACCCACCCACCGAGCTCGCCATCTGTGCAGCTTCCACTCTAGGCCGATCTACCCATCATGTCCACTTACCCGGCTCTTTGGCTAGATAAGCGGGTACAAGCTCCCTTCCCTTGGTGGATAATGCTCGTCACTGTTTCGTCACTTTTAGTTGAACACGGCCTTCTCGTAACTCACTTGCTAAAGTTAAATTTGTCGCGAGACAGCCGCCTGTGTTACTAGCCACTCTGGTACCCTACCGTACGGCCCGCCAACCACCCACAGCACCCACGCAACAAACAATGCAGCTAGTCATCCTAATACTGTTTACAGGCAAGCTAACTTTCAACCCGAGACAGCTTCCGAGTGTGTTGGCTTTCGACTGTTGCCAGCGACTGAAACTACAACCTAACAAGAGCATCCAAACTACTTCCCAGGTTCCTAGTACTATTTCCAGGCTTTTTATCCTAATAAGCACTCAGAAACGTATTCTCTGGCCCCCACGGGCTTCGCTGGCTGGACGTAATTTTGGAAAACAGCGCTCTAGGGTAACCGCCTGTAATGAACACTGCCATGTACACATGTGCTTGGGAGACTGTGCTTTGTCAAGAGTAAAGTCCCAGCCTAGTGACCCGTAAATGGCAAGCAAATCGTGTCTGGCGCTGCACAACCAGCAGATGTCCTCTAATAATGAGCAAGTCTTCATCTCTTCCCGTGGTCCTGTTTCAACTATGTAAAACTAAAAATAGCAGTTCCCCCCTCCCACAACCAAAAGTTGCAGTTAAACTTGGGGTCCATGTACCCTCAGAACAGCGGTTTTCTAGACTTGTTCAATTCCACTCTTTGGCTTCTACAGACAAGCTATCACTCATCTTCCCAATTCAAAGCTTGTCGGTCGCTTCGTAGGGTTGCAACCTGACATTCACCATCACGTGATCCATCCGCAGTGGTGATGCCTTCCCCAGATGCGCGCGCATGGACCCTTAAAGGTTAAATAGTAGTACTATTGGCTATTAGCAACAGAGCTTTTTGCTAAGGGGACGTGATAGGGAACTTAGGAGGTACCATAGTTAGTTGGCGTTTCCCTAGGAGACCTAAGTACCTATTACGTACCATTATATTTGGTATTTTGAAGGTTGTTATGGCTGCGGAAGAACCTCTGTATCTCTTGAGCGAATTGGTGACTTCAAGACGGGCGCAGGTTAAAAAGATACTTACAATTATATGTGGTGCGTACCAAAAGCTATGTACCTCTGCAAAATCCGCTAGTAGCCTTATGTAAGGCTCGTGCCTTTAGCAAAAGCTCTCGTGCTCATAGCACTACTCAGGAATATCTGTCATATTTGTTACTCACACATTCCCCCAAACAAACCCCCCAGAAAATAAGGGCCGTGAGCGGCTCCGGCCAATTGACCAAAATGTACGGCTGCTACGAATGTCAGGCCTGCGGGCGAGAGTTCAACACAGAAGGCGCCATGGCACAGCACATGGACGTCAAGGGCCACTGGCCGGCCGAGTGCGCCTGTTGCACCAACACGTATGTTGATGAGGAAAACTGCCGGGAGCACGAGTACATAGACCATAACTATTGCTCCGAATGCGACCGCGGTTTTATAAACTACAACAACCTGCGCATGGTGAGTGCTCTCAGTGTGATCTCCCTCCCACGGTCGACCAGCAGCCCCTGGCGACTAGACGCTCCATATACACTGGGAAATGCTGTCTAAAAGAGAAGGCTGAAATATAAAAATTATAATACATCGCTCTAACACGCGCAGCACCTCAACTCGAGCCGCCACAGAAGCGGCAGCATGGCCTGCCCCTTTTGCAACACGAGCCTCACCACCGCGACTGGTCTCGCGCACCACCTCGAGTGCAACGCGTGCCCCAACGTTAGTACCGGCCGGGAGTCCCTCTACCACTATGTGCGCTGCAAGGACCCCAACCGCCTCATCGCCAAGCGGATGATCGGGTGGAACGGCGTGCGCACCGCGTACGAGGCCTCGAGTGCGACCTGGAACGGCGTCGGCTACGAGTGCTACCTCTGCCACCGGAATTTCGGGAGCCTGCAGGGGCTCAGCCAGCATTTGAATTCTGCAACGCGTGAGTTCGACGGCCCCCCTCTCTCAAAATTTCCTTTTTTTTTCGTCGTTTTTTTCCCCCCCGCCTTTCTTTTTGTTTGCTTGAACAACAACGGAAACCTGGCGGACTGATGCGAGAATAGACCAGCAGTCGCTGTACCACTGCCCGAACCGGAACTGCCGCGACTTCAAGACTTTGGCAGGCATCATCAATCATCTTGAGAGCGAGACGTGTGGCATTGCCAGGTTTGAGACGGTGCAGAAGGCGGTCAGTCAAACGATTGGCAGCGGCCGCTTGTTGAGCTTCTGAGCACGTTACGGGGGGCGCTCTTTGCATGGAGAACGGAAAGTGGCATAAATAGTGACACTGATTTGAGCCTTGTTTATTTCTGTTACAGCAGCTGGAACTGCTGGGGACGACCTGTTGACGGAGTGGGCGGCAATGGCGGGTAGGTCACACCAGGATAACAGCGAAACAGGATCACACCAACAGGAGTACGAGTGTGTACAAACATGTACAAACATGTACAAACATGTACAAATATATACAAATGTGAACCCCTCACACAATCTGAGATGGGCCGAGTTGATAGTGATCTGTTGAACCCAGGCAAGCTTGATAGCCGCATTCTGCGCAAGACAGACTCCAGACAGCGCGAAACGAGCGCAACTGCGGCAGTCAAGTCGTCGAACATGGTCTAGGCAAGATCCATCATAGCACGAGCACCACAGGAGCCCATTTCTAGGTGATGAATACAGCGGGACCAGTGGCAGTACCAGTAGCAGCACGTGCTAGTTAGATATTCGCAGTCAATTCGATTGCACAGCACACCTGTTTCAGATGGACAAGCTTCAATTCATGTTACAATTATTCATTTCGCGATTACTTTAATCACGTCTTGTAGAAATGTAAACAGCCATCATGTTAATACTAAAATCGCCCTAGTAAACCACGTCAACAATAACCCAATTGCTTTTCCCGACAGCAAACTCCACATTACCCTAACAATCTATTCGACTATTTCCTTTTGATTGAAAGCCCAGGTAAGAGGCCTCGAGGAATGCATCAGTTGTTTATAATGAGCTCTGCTGGTACCAGTGGGCTCCGCGACACCAGCTGCTCCGCCAGATACGTCAACGAGTTGGGGCTCAAGATTTCAAACACCGACACGTCACACTTCAACTGACGGAAAATCTGGTTGCGAACCTCGACCGCTTTAAAAGAATCAACTACAAACATGTCGTTAGCCCCGCGATTTTTTTAGACAAAGGCATCAAGCGCTAATGGCAACGTACCTCCAAGCTCGTACAGCGGTCGCTCTACATCAATATCCCCCGGCTGCACCCCCAATCCGGGAGCCAGGAGCTTCTTGATAACATCCTGGATCGCGACCTGGCAATCCTCTCGCGCCGTCGCTGCTGCGAGGACCACGGCCACGCTAATCTCTTGTCCCCCGTCCGCCCCCGACTCCGCGTCCGTGCTCTCCCGCAACACCCGGTGGATGAACTTGGCGTCGCCGGCCCAAAAATCCACTCCCGCGGGCTCCAGCGAGTCCGTCATGCAAAAGACAAACTGCGACGACGTCTTCGTGTCGCCGTTTCCGACCGTACCCCGCATAGCAGCAGCGACCGCCACATCCAGCTCAGACAGCGTCGTGCTGACGCTGGCCATGTGCTTAAAGCGTTCCAGATAATCCTTCATGCTCGTGCCGTCAATCGTGTGATCAGAGTCCGCCACCAGCCCGGCATTGATCGAGGTGCCAGCCATGCCCAGAGACCGACGGTACCGGGCGAGGGCGTCCATGTACGAGTTGCCCGCTGCGTAGTTTGCCTGGGCGACGTTGCCAATGACCGACACAACAGAAGAAAGCATAATAAAAAAGGCCATATCGCTAGGAAGAGCCGAGTGTAAGTTCCAGCTACCATCGACTTTAGGCTTAAAGGCCGTCTGCCACTGCTTATAGCTCATCTTATCAAATAAGCTATCCTATTTCTAGTTATTAGTATTTATAATTCAGTCTAGCAGATCTAAATAAGAATCCATTACTTACCTGAAGTACCATAGCGCACTGAATGATACCCTTAATAGGTCGCCCTATCTTCTCTACTTCCTGGACCATAGCCTGCACGCTTTCTTCCGAAGTCACGTCGCAGGCAAGCACTAGGGTAACGCATCCGAGCGCATGAAGCGTGCTTAGCTTGCCGTTGTGGTGATTTCCGCCAGAGCGAGAGAGGAAGACCAGATGCGTCGCTCCGTTCTTCGCCATCAATTCCGCGATTCTAAGGCCCAACGAGCCCAGTCCGCCTGCCATGATATACGTGGCGTTTTTGTCAAGCTTGGGCATCTGCGGTGCAGGCGGAATGACACGGACGCTCGGTCCGGCACCGTTTATTCCATCGACTAGGCTGATCGAAACCAGGCCACGAGGACTGCCTGATTCAGCGGCTTCGACCGCCTTGTCAAGTTCCGTCACAGAAAATGTGAGGCCAGACTGAAAGTCAGAAGGCGCGGGGATCGCTTGGCTTATCCGGCTGAGTAGCTTTGCCAGCCAGCGTGGTTGCTCTGTTAGAATACGCACGGGATCAACCGTCGCCCAAGTCACATTGCCTCCAAGTGCAGGGAGTGGCGGTGTTGCTTGGTCAGGCTGCAAAACAATGGCCACTCGAGCAAGTTCAGCGAGGCAAATGGCGGCGTCTTCATCAAGTATCAAGCCGTGCCCTGCCTGAACAGCGACGTCGATACCCATGCCCTGCGTCTTTTCCAAAAGGTGCGAAAACAGCAAAGAGGAGCCTGTCCCGGGGGGGTGTACCGTAACCGAGTCTGGCCCGAGTCCGGTTCGGTGAATTACTGCAATCTTTTGTTCCGTGTTGGAAACGGTGGCGTGGACCTGCGCGCCGTATTCTTTGGTGGCTCTCGCGATAATGGCGTGGCCCAAAAGGCTGTCAGCGTCTTGGACCAGGATCGTCTCTCCGGCGGCCAAGTGGGTGACGTATTCGAGAATAAAGGTCACCATAAGCTCAATCCATAACCTCGCGGCAGATTGTGAACCTGCGGCCGGGACTTTGAAAACTAGAGAGTGGTGTTGTCTGACAACGGTTTGGCAGCTAGGCAGCCCAAGGACGACCACGTTATCTCCAGATTTCATATTGCTCACATTTATACCACAACTGCGGACGGTACCGGTGATAAGACTCCCTAACAACTTAGTTGCAACATTAGAGCTGGTTGCAAAGGGATAAATTGATATGTCTGACACCGCCACTTCCACATTATCGATTAAGAGAGTTTCATAGGCCAATTTATCCGCTTGCCAGCAAAACTTGTCTCCCTTAGACTGAGGCTTTATCAATCCAAGTGGCCCGCATCCGCTGAGCTCTTGAACTACCGGTGGTGCGTTGCCTGTGGACAGAGCTACCTCCAGGTCCATTCCATTGTCCTCAACAACGCGAGGGATGAAAATATTACCATCCAGCTCAGCAAGCTCCAGCTCAGGAAGCTCGCCCTCTGCCACAAGGCTTAGAATGTGATGGAGGACGTCCACGACAAACTTCGCGCCTTTTTCATCTGCAGCGTTGGGGTCAAAGGACAAGTCGAGATGAGACAGCGCAACCTGAGGGAATTCATTTCGTAGTACCCGAAGCAAGCCAGAAACACCGCTAGCGTCGAGACCCTTCTGGGATGGCTGCAGCATTTGTGCGCCGCTTGTAACCCAGCAAAGACGGCTGGCAGAAGAGATCAGAGTCTGGAAGTGTTGGAACTCTTCGCTCGTCCAGCGATTGACGAGGCTGCCACTGAGCAAACAAAGAACTGTCCCGCTTTGTAGCAAGGTGGCATCCTTCAGCTCGGCTAGACGAGTTGCTACTGCGCATTTGTTCAACTGGTCCAGAATCGAGCTGACACCCGGTGACGTATCCGTGATGGACGGAACCAGTAGCAGAAGCTCCCCTTCGATGGGAGTCTGTTGCCTTTTCTCCGTGTAAACTGCCAATGGAGTACTTTCACCAAAGTGCAGCTTCAAGAAGTCCTTGCCAACACCGGAATGGCTGTTCGTAGATGTATCTCCATTCACTCCATTAAAACTGTTAAAGACTTGTACTTTTACGTCCGACCCAAGGACAACAATTCGACCGCCTGTGTTGAGTTTAGTCTGATAGGTGTGAAGTGTTTCGCTCTGGTGGCTCTGTGCCGCGCCGACTATCACTATGTCGTAAGATTGGCTGGATTCTGTCCACCCACTCTCGGTCACGAAATTGATCGGAGTATCAGCCAAGGTAGTCTTTGTCTTCCATAATTCGAGCGCGTCTTTGGATATATCGGTAATGGTAAGATGTGAGATGCCTCGATAGTGAGATGTGCTATCTAAGAACGGGAGCAGTTTGTCGATAGTCTGCTCGGCTAGCGTTTGACCGATGAACACGACGCTGAGGTTGGTAGACTTGTGGCACTCGAGCTCTAGCCAGTCTTTAAGGCTAGACACGTTTGCCAATGAACCCGTTGACGAGATCTGAGCAAAGAAGCCCGGGTCGACTTTCCAGTCGAAGGTGGTAGTCTTCTTGGCAACGGCACCTTGTCCAGGATGCGCCAGGGTGTCGGAATCAGACGATACCCGTGTCATAATGAGGCCTTGGACTGTAACCTTTGGCTTCTGCCAGGCCCCGTCCGAGACCACGAGGTCAGCGCAGAGCTTGCCATCACGGCGGTGAACTCGCTCCGCATAGCCGACAAACTCTTGGCCAGGCCCTTGCGGTAGGTCAAATGAAATGTACAGCTTTCCCAGCATGGAGGGCACCGCCGCTTCGGTGAGACTCGCGCCGCCGGCAACTGCAACCACGATGAGGTGGAAGATGGCGTCGAGAGTCGCAGGGTGGATGAGGTGAGAGAATTCATACTCAAAAGGCATTACGCTCTTGGTGTCGGGGATCTTGACGGCGCCGTAGCAGAGCTCACCGTCAGGGACCGTCTTCAACTCGGTGACGTTCTGAAACGTCGGGCCATATTGCATGCCAACGCCGTGTAACTTGGTGTACAGCTTGCCGACGTCGACCGGGATCGCATTGCTCTGCTGCGCCGCGTGGAACTTGTCAATGTGGCGCTTCCACTCCAGCGTTGACGTCGTTTCCTCAGCGGCTGTTGTCTCGGCAGCCTCACTGTTCGCATGAAGAATGTGAAAGCGGCCATGACAGTTCTTGACCCACGGCGCGTCGCCGATCCTCGAGAAGATGGCAAACGAGTGCGGCGCTGGCGAAGGACCGCTGCTCTGAGGAAGCTGGATGCGCAGAATGGTTTCCGTAGCACCCTCTTGCGGAATGACGAGGCCCTTTTCGAAGCGGACGTTGCGGAACTCGATGCCCTGTACGGGGGTAGCGGCCTGGCCACGAGCCATGTCCGCCACCGCCTCCATCACCATGATGAGCATCCCAGCGCCGGGGTACAGAATCGTGCCAGTGATTTTGTGGTCCTGGGCCCACGGGCTCTCGCGGACGCGCAGGTGGTTGCGCCACTGCGGCTCGAGCGGGTTCTGGTTCTCTACCGGCGCCCCGAGGAGGTCGGTCCGCGGGCGGCTCTGCAGCCGCTGCCGGCGTGTCGCCGGCGCCTCGTGCCAAAACGTCTTGTCGTGGTTCCACGCGTACGCGGGAAGGTCCGTCGCCACGACATGCGCGGACGACGCCGATTGTCTGTTGACCCTGTCCAGCGCGATCTTGACGCCCGCCGACCACAGCGCGCCCGCCGCCGCCAGGGCGGTGGCGACGGCGTCTTCTTTGCGGACCAGGAGCGACGTGTAGGGAAGCTGTGTCGGGAGCTTGCTGTCCAGCTCTTCCATGATTTGCACCAGCGGCGCTTTGAGCGCCGAGTGTGGGCCAATTTCGACCATCGCGTCCCACTTCACGGCCGGTTTCCGGCCGGCGGTGCGCCGTTTCAAAGACTGTGCGAGGTTGCCGGCGAGGAGATTGGTCACGGCAGGGAAGAAGCGCACCGTCCCGCACATGTTGCGGATCCAGTACGTGGGATCAAGCTCGACCGGGTCAATGACTTCGCCGGTTACTGACGAGAAAATGGGAATGCTCACATCCTCGGCGCCCGTCTGGGCGATCTGGCCCACGCCGGCGTCGCGCATGGCCTGCAGGCAGCTGTCGGCGACGCTCTGCATGTGTGGCGAGTGATACGCCGTCATGACGCGCAGCTTCCGCGCAAACTTGCCGTCGGCCGCAATGGTCGCCTCGAGCTGCGTCACGACATCCGCGTCGCCCGACAGCGTGACGCTCTTGGGGCTGTTGACGCACGCCACGACGACGCTGCCCGCCGGCACGTCCTTGAGGTACGTTTCAGCCTCGGCTTCGGAAATGCCCGCCGCGAGCATAGCGCCCACGCGGCCGCCCTTGGACACCATCCCGGAGTACACACCACGCAGGTACGCGACCGTGACCGAGTCCTCGTGCGTCAGGCGCCGCGCCGCGTACGCCGCGGCGATTTCGCCGCTCGAGTGGCCCACGACGGCGCCGGGGACGACGCCCCAGTCGCGCAGCAGGTCGACGAGCGCGAGCTGCACCGCCGTGCACATGGGCTGGCTGACCTCGGCCGTCTCAATCAGGCTGTGCTCAGTGCGCTGCAGCTCTGCCTCCAGGCCGAAGGGACAGCCCAGGGCTGCGAGGCAGCGGCTGCTCCGCACGATGCTCTGCGTAAAGGCGTCGAACTGGCCATAGAGCTGCCGGCCCATGCCGGCCCACTGCGCGCCCTGGCCGGTGAAGATAAAGGCGAGGCGGTTGTGCTTGGCGGAGCGGCGCGCGGCGCGCGGCATCGAGGTGCTCGGGGCGGCGAGCTTGTGCGCCAGATCACTGACGGACTCAGTCACGACAAATGAGCGGCATTCTAGCTCGGAACGCCGGAACGACAGGGTATGCGCGAGGCTGGCTAGATCATGCGCGCCGTACCTGTCCTTTTGAGTCTCCAGGTAGGCACCGAGCGCCTTGGCCGTCCGCGCGACGCCCGCCTCGTCGCGTGCGCTGAGCGGGTACAGCGTCTGCTGCGGCTTCACCTGTGGCTTGCTGCTCCCATGCAGTCCCATGGATTCGGCCAGGCTCTCATCTGACGCGTGCCCTGGCAGTCCCCGCTCGCGCAGGTACGCGGACGCGCCGTCGAGGATGACGTGCGCGTTGGCGCCGCCAAAGCCAAACGAGTTGACGCTGACGCGGCGCGGCGCGCCGGCGGGCCACGGCATGGTCGCCGGGGGCAGCGCAATGTTCCAGTCGGCCAGCCGCAGCCGGGGGTTGACGGTGCGCACTTCGGCCGTGGGCAGGAGCACGCCGCGCTCCAGCGACAGCATAGCCTTGAAGACGCCCACGAGGCCGGCGCAGCCTTCTGTGTGGCCGACGGTGGGCTTGATGCTGCCGACGTATACGGGCTGGTCCGGCGGTGCGGCGGCGCCAAAGGTGGCGGCAATGGCGGACAGCTCGATGGGGTCCTGTGTCCAACCGTCAGCGATGTCCTTTTGTGGTGAGTACGGGCAGCCAGCAGGAGCCCACTTACACCAACCGGCGTTCCTGTGCCGTGTAGTTCAACATAAGGCGTAGAGGCCATGGGCAGCTTGGCCTGCTTGTATACCTCTCTGATCAGCTCTGCCTGTGCTTCGGCGCTCGGCATCGTCACGCTAGGCGTCTTGCCGTCGACGTTGGAGCCCACGCCGCGGATGACGGCGCGGATCGTGTCGCCGTCGCGAAGGGCGTCGCTTAGGCGCTTGACGACTAGCGCGCCGATGCCCTCGCCCCGGCCGTACCCGTTGGCCCTGTCGTCAAAGGTGTGGGAGATGCCGTCCGGGCTGAGCATGTGCATGGCCACCAGCTGCTGCATGAAGTTGGGGTGCAGTATCACGCTGACGCCAGCCACGAGACCCTATCCAGAGTTTTAGAATAAGAATGTTGGTAAGAAGAAATGGGAAATCAACGTACCATGTCGGTTTCGCCGAGTCGTAGTGACTGGCAGGCCAGGTGCAAGGCGTAGAGGCTAGAGGAGCAGGCCGTGTCCAGCGTCAAGCTCGGCCCGCGAAGATCAAAGAACCAGGATACGCGGTTGGCGGTCATAGCCTCGCTGCTTCCCGCGGCGGCCATGTGTGGCTCATCGTATATTTCGCGCGTCGACAAGTCTTCATAGTCGCTAGTCATGCTGCCGACATATACACCAGTCTTTGATCCGGCAATTTTTTCCAAGGGCATGCCGGCTGGAGTGCGTTAGTGGATATCCCTTTTGTGAAAACGCCAGAAGTACCGTTACTCACCATTCTCAAACGTCTCGTAGGCCACTTCTAGTAGCAGCCTCTTTGCCGGATCCATGCCGGCGGCTTCCTTAGCGTTGATAGTAAAGAATGGGGCGTCGAATGCAGCAATGTCTTGCTCCAGGAAGAAGCCATGCGTAGTATTTAACTTGATTCATAATGAGCTAAGATTATCGTATTTTGTATGAAACTTACAGAGCCTTTTCGGTCAGGGTCTGGGTGGTACCAAGCGTCCGCATCCCAGCGCTCCTTTGGCACTTTAGCATGTGCGGTCCGCGAGTTCTTCATCATGTTCCATAAATTGTCTAGAGAAGATGCTTCACCCGCCAATCTGCAGGCCGCACCGACAATAACAATGGGGTCATCAGGGCAGTTGTCGGCCTTGGAGTTGCCCGCGGCAGCGGGTGTCGTTTGATATACCATCTTGTATACGTCGTGTAAGTGTGGTGAAGACGGTGTAACTGTAGAGGACTTGAGTGATACTAGAGAAAAAAAGTCAAAGGTGAATCTATCTACTTGCTTCACCATAGGCAAGATTGCATCCGTTTTCATTGCACATCATTCGAACCACCTTCACCTGTCAAATGTGGCTCGCCGCAAGTACCCGAAACAGGCAAGGCTGCAAGTGCCGGGACCCTGTATCAGAGTGGACATGTGGTTTCCCACTTTCCCACATGGGAAATATTTTAATTGAAAACTTCCTTTTCATTCATCTCAGTCACAGCTGTCTTAGTGCTTACATTTTCCCCAGTGCCTTCGGGTCCCTGATTGTAGGAAGTTGTGACGACGGCTGTATGACGTGAGAAAAGGCTCCGAAGTAGATATTCTCAATGGAGGCATAAAAAGTTTCCGAATTTGGTAAAATAAAGGTTCTGCATTTCATCACACGTAGTAAAGTAATGTCTACTTGTGCAAAGACTTGGGAAACATTCTCGACCTCTACTTCCCTCCCAGTTACTGCCGGCAACAACAGCAGGAGTATGAAAAGATCAACAAAATGAAAAGACTTTTGGCTCTTCACGGCGTGGGTTCATCCTCGGATATCCTACGAGTCCAATTAAACCCTGTCATCAGAGCCTTGGAACACGAATATGAGATAGTTTTCTTCGACGGTGCCTTCACACGAGAACGCGGCCCGGGCATGGCCTCGCACTACCCTGGACCCTTCTATTCATACACTACTGGATATTCTCCGAGTGACATACGTGTCGCTCTTGATGACCTTGACAACATGATGCAAGATTGCGGTCCATTTGATGGTGTCATCGGTTTCAGCCAAGGTGCCTCTCTGGCCGCTTCCTACATCCTTGATCATCAGTCGCGATGTGCCAATGAGCCCCCCCCCCTTTGGCTTCGCTGTTCTCCTATCCTCGGTCGCAGGGTTCTCTCCGGACGCACAGTACTGTCTGCCAATGATTGAGTATCTCATTACAGAGAAATACGACGCCATGTCCGACTTCCCAGACCACATATCGACGAAACTTCCGCGACAGCAGCAAGGCTTTGTCGACTACCTAGCCACCACGTTCAACATTGCCCGCAAGATCGGAGCCACTACGCCCGATTATGACATTGCCTTCTTCAAGCACCGCCAGGCGGACAAGGTGCCTCGACTCCTCCACCCATCGTTGACTGAGGCGCGAATCAGGATGCCGACTGTGCACTACACGGGAGAGCGAGACCACTCTGCCATGGTGGAGCAGTCCCTCGTGGTCATGAGTATGTGCGACCGCAACACGGCAAGGGTTTTTCAGCATTCTGGGGGTCATGCTGTGCCTGCGAAGCCCGATGAAGTAAAACGACTGGTTCGGGACATTGAGTGGGCAGCGGCAGAAAGCAGCAGCCAGCAGGCGCTGCACAGGGCCCTCGGAGTGAAGCCGCGAAGTATGTTTTGAGACATAAATTGACTTGTAGATATGTGTGCCGCAATAGAGATTAAGATGGAAAAAAAATATCTCTTTGGGGGTTTCTCTAATATCCTAAATGGAGTATTGGAACAGGGTTTTCGTTTATTTTTCAGACTGTCGCAGCCATGGACCACGCCAGCAGCGTTCCTGGGGAAAACATAGTAGCTAGACCTCCCAGATACAGAAAATCTCCCTTTGTGCGAAGCATACATTTCTTAACAAGGGTGAAAATTGAAGCGCCATCTGTTGAATCAGCGCTGTTGGACGCCTTGCAGAGAAGCGCCGACGAAAATGGTACAAATCCGGCAAGGATGACCCAAAAGTCGTTTTGGAGGAATTTGTGGCAGTCAAGACCAATGATGTCTTTGGAAGAGGCACCCGTAGTATCTGTGGCCCTGGGCCAAAATATTCCCGATAGAGTGACTGCAGGTGACGATACCGCACAAGCGATGGCATACCAGTGTCCTACTGCCGAGAACAACCCCGAAGTATATAGAGAGGCTTGTACGAGCGAGCGCGTCGTGCCCTTTTCCAGTGGTTTCCGACTCAGCATCTTAATGGCCTTCGCAAACAGCGGTTGCGCGAGGCCCATGATGATGGGGCTCAGACGGTAAGATGCAATGAGAAACTGCCTCGTTGCAGTCGAGCATGGTACGAAGGCGGGCCAGAGCAGCCAGACTGGAAGCAATCCCGCAAGGATGGAAGTGTACAACAACGCCTCCGCATCCACTGGCGTCATGGCAGCAATGTGGGTGCTCCTGGTGGCTGTTGCAGCGTGATGTGTATGCGCGAAGAGGTACAGGGGATATATAAACGCGGCACCGTAGCTTTGATTTACAACACCCCAGAATAGCGGTCCCCTATATCATGGGGGGTTAGCAATTATTCGCCGCTTTTTGTTAAAGCCATTGAGTTGCTCAACGTACAGAATCGTGCCCCAGCGCGGCAATCCAAAGATCCAACCCGCGGCCACCATGCAGAACGATGTTGTCTGCATCGTGCCAAAGAGGCTCACAAGAAGAGACCGAAAAGTTGGGTTCTGATCGCGCATGAGGGCGTCGTAGAAGATGACGGGTGATATGAGCAGCTTGTCAATACCAGGCAGTGCCGTGTACACCAGTCGAAGCGGGCTGCCGTCCGGGAGAGTGCCCGCGGCTTTCACGGCGCCGATGGCTTTTGCTGTTCCATTTCGTACCAGCGAGCCCCAGAGAGCGTCGTAGCCAACGGCGGTTGGACCCAGGAAAAATGTATGCATAATGATTTGGTAGGATGTGGCGCGTAAGACATCATCTCAGGAAAACCCTATTTAAATATAGTAAAGTCCGGAAAGAGCCAGTTTTCTGTTTATGTCTGTTTCCTCTTTTGTAAATGCAGTCTAAGAAATCCACATCATCTTAGGAGTTGACAAATCTTAAATAGGCGTAATAAATGAATCTTACGACGAATTGTCCACTTGAAGATTGTTTTCCTTTTTTTTTTCAACTGTATAGTCCCGTATCCGAAATTCCAGCCAGTCAGGCCCTCGATCCAGCCACATCAATAAAGACTAAATAAGAGAGCCATCGAATATCCAAAACCGTCTGGCTTCTCCCTTGTTCCTCTGAATAGTGCCCGTATTACAGTACAGTGTAATGTGGCGGATACTCAAAGACGCCTCTGTAGTGGAACAGGCTGTGCCAGTAGCTCCGCCCACTGAACATCAGCGCAGCTGTTATAAGTGAAAGCGACAGGACAAGGTTCAAGGGAGCGCCATTCAACAGTTCAGAAAGTCGAGTTTTTTCGTGAAGGGCCCAGTAAAGAGCCGTGATTAGAAGAAAGAATAGAGGGGCCCAGTCTCGTGCCGCAGTACGATTTCCGAAGTGTGACAGTACTGTTCTCTCGGGCTTCTGTGGCTTTGTCTCTGGCTCCATCAGTTGTTGCCTAGCCTCCCGTTTCGCGGGCACAGTCTAAGTCAATTGTTAGGAAAATCGACAACGGACCTCTGAGAATAGGGAAACAAACGAAGCCAGCCACATCTCCGACTTCAAACTCAGCTATGGCTTTCGACGCTGATTTGGAATGGCCAACAAAGTCAAAATCGTTTGTGGCATCGCCGCCTGCCAGCTCCAATAGAACGTCGCGGCCACCTGGGTGGTCATCCAGGTAGCTCGAGACATTGTACACTGATAATGTTAGTCTTTCATGATATCCGGATTGATTGATGTATGCGCACCCTTTCCATGAATCACAATCCAGGCATTTTCTGGTGAATTGGCCTCCGCGACCTGCTCAAGTGTATACTCGGTACGATTACTGTGAATCATGGCCGAGCTTTGCCCAGGAAATGATGATGTTACTTTGGCCGTCATACTATAATCATCGTCGCCGTAACTTAGCAGTAGGATGCATGGCGATATTTGGAGTTGAGCTAATAAAACACCCGAAAGGGAAAGTCCCGTAGTCGGAATAATGTGAAGTAGTGCCCAAAATGGATTTTGCAGCCTTGGGTTTACGCAGAGGCTCAAGACCAGCCATCATATTATGCCGCGTACAAGGACAAGTATACCTGAGCAAGCCCTCGTATTGCACTATTGAAAAAGCGGTTAAAATGGTGTATAAGCAATTCCACCTTTTCGGCACAGTCCGAAGCCAGAGCGCAAAGATTGAGGTACAGCCGTCGGACGATGTTGATCATCTCAAGTCCGACCTCGCGGGTATCTTTGCTATTTGCGACCCTAAAGGTACTTAGTACCAGTGAACATTTTCTCATGAAAGCATTCACTGATAATTGTAGGTATAACCCTACATGGATCGGATACGCTTCTCACGATTGCCGATGTCATTGCAACGGCGAGGTCGATCGGCTTGAAAGTCGACGGTTGTCCAATCAGGGAACCATATGCACCCCGAGAGCTGCCAATCTTTGGCAATCATTTTGAGATCTACCCGGACCACATGGGAAACCATGATCGCCTGTTCCTTCAATTCGGCAGCGTCATCAAGACAACCAACATGGGCACGATAAACTATTTAACCAATGACCCGCGCGTGTCTGAAGCAGCTCTGAGCGAAAGCGACTATTTTACAAAGATGACCTCAGATCCTTCACATCCACTGTACTATATGCGCGATGAAACTGCACTCTTCATGTGCGACACATCTTCGTCCGCCCTTCACATCGCTCACAAGTTCATCCCACCGAGCATGACGCCCAATGCGGTCCGTCAGTACGCGGGCAACATGCAGCAAGCGATTGAAGAGTCCTTCTCCGTGTTTGATGAGCTGGACCGTCAAGGAAAGGCGTTCCACGTGTATCAGTACATGTTCAAGCTCGCCGGGCAAATTATCTACCGCATCGTGCTGGGGCTCGACGTGGGCCACTTCAACAACATTGACACCCCGGTGCACGAAATCATCCACCTGCTGGGGGAGTACATGTCTCTGATGAAGAAGACGTCGCTGAGTCCGCAATGGTACAAGTACTTGCCGTTTGGCAATCACAAGCGCCTGGCCGAAGTCAAGCGGCGGGCGTGGGCCCTGGTCGACGCAGCCATTGACAACGCGGAGCCGGGCAGTGACGGCAAAGACGCGCCGATTCAGACTGCTGCGCTCAACTCGACCTGCATCGCCGACTATCTGAAGCGTGCCGTCGATGAGAATGGGGAGAAGCTGCCACCAGAGTATCGTCTCACGAACATTGTCGTGCTCATCGGCGCTGGCTTCGTCACGAGCTCGTCTCTTTTGTCCTGGATGGTGTATGCCCTGACCAAGTACCCAGGCAACCAGGAGAGGCTTGTACAGGAACTGGTTGACAACGGCTGCACCGCAGACAAGGCCTGGGCGTATGACGAGATCAACGCGCTGCCGTTCCTAGACTGCTTCATCAAGGAGACGCACCGGCTGCACAACCCATCGTTCCAGACAGCACGCAACACCAAGCGGGACGTGATTGTGCCGGGCGGGTGGCAGATTCCCGCGGGCGCCGTCGTTATCCCCACGTTTCCCTCGATCCACAAGAACAAGGATCACTGGGAGAATCCAGAGCGGTTCGACCCGGACCGGTGGGGTGGAGGCGGCGGCGCAGGCAGGCCGGACAGGCACCGACTGGCATTCACGCCGTTTGCGGCGGGCCCGCGAGGCTGTGTGGGATTCAACGTGGCCAAGCTCGAGGCCAAGCTCGCGCTGGCCAACTTGGTGTACAGGTACGAGTTTGAGGACGCGTCGACGGAGCCGATGCAGTATGATGCCGAATTCTTGGTGATCCGCCCGTTGAACTGCTACGTGCGGGCCCGTCGGCGAACTACTTGGCCCACGGCTCAGAAGGAAGAGTAGGGGGTCAAGCAGCCTTATATCACTCAGAGTCTGCAGTTCGTTTTGATATAAATAGCAATGATGTGCGCCATTTCCTTGCTAGTTCTCCACTGACTATGGGATTTGCCGTCCGAAGCTTTGCAGTCATTACTAACGGTAACTAGCTGCCCATACGAGATTCCTGGCTGGCATCATCCCGAACAACCATGCCAAATAACAGCTAGGCAGTATCGATGCCTCTCAGCGGGATCCTACTATTACTGGACCACTGGTATCGTGTCAAAGACCTGGCTCCTGTAGTCTTTCTACAAGTGCCAGCGAGAGCCGAATAATTTTGCCAGAAAGAAGTGACTGGTTGTAAAGTTCTAGAGTTATATTTAGACACAGTCTTGGAGAAGTGCGACACATCTTATAAGATGTGCATAACACCTACAGCAAGGAAGTAGAGTGATATGGAACAAGCTGCGTTGATCACACTCATTTCGGCCCACCAAGGACTTCGCCCGTCACCTCGAGGTCGCGAGCCAGCCAACAGAGAGACAACAAGGCTTGGCGCAGCATGTAAAGGCTTCAAGTTGGGATGAAATGGGGTAAGTTGCGCGGTGATCGACAGTGGGGGTCATGATGACTGCATTTGCAGGCCAGATGCGCCTTCACTGCGAGAGGACAAGTGGACTACTTGACTACTTCTTTTTCCCATGTGCTCCAGTCCACCCACGGCGACAGCGTTGTTGACCATGACGATCCGCAAGGCTGCAAGGATGCCCAGCACGCCCATCACAATTCGAATGCTGGTGCTCTATCTTGCCCTAAGTCTCATAACGCCACTGTTCGGGCCCGCCCGCAGCTTAGTAGTTACCGCCTTGCCCCTTCTGTCAGTTCTCTTTCCTCGATTGTTGACTCTTCTCTTGATTGCCCCCTCAATGCGGCATCTCGTTTCCACCAATCTTTCCCACCTTTCCCACCTGCCACGCAAAACCACGGCCCACGGCGCCCGCCCGCTAACTACCCGCCACGCTCCAACTTTTCCATCGGGAACTCTTCTTTCCAAAGACCTGTACTTGGGAAGATCCGAAGCTCCCCGACGACGTTGTGCGATCCGCCCATCATGTTTACAGCCTTTCGATGTGACGAGCCCATCCAGCAGCAGCCACGCATCATCACACCCCCCGACGTCACATCTTCTCCGAATCCACACACGTCCGATTCCACACAATATTCGCGCACGGCGTGCGACTTTTGCCGAGCGAAAAAGGTGCGCCGCGATGCCGAGCCCGCGATGCCGAGCCCGCGATGCCGAGCCCGCGTTCTCCGCGCAAACCACCCCTGCCTGTGTTGGCCCCGAACTGACAAAGCCTTAGTTGAAATGCCTTGGCACCGGGGAGGCTTGTGACCGCTGTCTGGCGTCCTTCAGCACTTGCACGTATACGTTCAGCTCGGGGGTTGGGCCGGGCAAGAAGCGCCGCCGCAAGATTTCGGATCCTCGCCACGCTCCTTCACGCCGACCAGTCTCGCCACGCAGCGGCTACTCGCCAGAGTGCGATGACGGAAGATTCAACACTATACCAGCCTCTGTTGGGACAAATAATGCTTGGGGTGGACAGGATGTTACTCCCGCGACTTCGGTTCCGCCCTCGGAGCTGTCCAACCGCCATACTGTCCCAGCCACACACGATAACAGCACTTCACAGGAGCGGCAGAAATATTGCTCCGACATTTCTCTTAGCGGAAGCGGATTTGCCTTGTGTCCAGCCAAACATTTGAGCGCGGTGCCCAATTCAACACCGCGGCTACAACATCAATCTAATTCCGCATATGATTTCGACAAAATTCTAGACGACAATACTCTAGACGACAATGAGATCTCGCTTCTTGATCAGGAGAGCCTTCAACTATTCGAACTCTCCTCTCCACACATACGTGATGACGTGTCGTCACAAGCGCCGCGGGAGAGCCCTTTAGGCCAGGCAAATTTACACTCTAGGAACAAAGCACTCACGTCACAAGATCAAATAATTGAGCGATCATCTTCCTGTGCGTGTGGTCGATGTAAATGCCTCTCGGCTGTGGTGCAAGGTCTGGATGAGTTTAACCTGCAGCGAAACGCAGATACAGAAACCATCCCGACCGATACCCTGTTTCTGTCAGTGGACAAGGGAACTGATCAATTCTCTACCCTGCTAGCGTGTGCGAACTGCGATCTTAACGATTTGAGCCCTATACTCGTCATAACAACTATCAACCAGTTAGCACTTATGCTCTCGGAGCTGGTTCATCGATTGACACACTGCCAGTCTGCAGACACCGTGCCCACTGTGTTCCAATTCGGCAGATATAGCGTTCAAAAAACGAAAATGCGTACAAGCCTTCTTACTAGTATGATCGAGCTACACGTCAAACGCCTAAGTCAACTCATCATTCGTCTCGAGGGCTGCATGGCAGACCAGCCACGCCTCTTGCTAGCAGGTGCGAAGAGCATCGTCACAAAAATGCAACAAACTCTACAGGCCTTTTCGGGAGGCTCGTATACTGACTACGACAGCTGACACTTACTCGGCATTTCTTCTGTCATCCGTTCAAGTCACCTGATTAGTATGCTCGCATCTTCTTTACTCTAAGGAACAGCCGCATTACCATGCTCTTAATAAGAGGTCTTTGCAAGTTCTATTAGACTAAATATAGGGAAATAATGAAAATCAAGGAAAAGAAGTAAAGATGTCCCGCCTCGCATTGCACTGCAAGATGTCAAATCAACGCTTATAAGGCCTGACATATTACGAGAAAATTGCGTACCATCTAAACCATACTAGCAAAAGAGCTTCTCTTTCTTCATAGCCAAGCTGCACAAGAAGGAGACGGCACCTGTTACGAATACAGGAATAAAGGCGTCTTGGATGGCTAGAGCAATGACGTGGATGGCGGCTGCAGCGACTTCTTTGCTGGCTTTGTTAATAAGGTCACTGCCAACACCTGCGACAGCCGAGGAAATCTCCTCAGCGAATGCATTAGGAAACAGATGCTGTAGACCCTGATGGGCCTTGTTGACAAAGACGGCGCCTGATATACCCGTGCCGAGGGCGATGCCCAGCATTTGGCTGACAGTCATGAAGCCCACGCTGTAGGCAATGTCTGAAGCAGCTACCTTCATCTGCGCGATGGGAAAGCCAGCTTGGCAGTAGCAACCAACACCGACGCCCAGCAAGATTGTGTAACCGTAAATCTTGGCGTTGCTGGTTTGTTCATCGGCGGTGACTGACATGGCGACGCTGGTTAGCAACTCACTGGCGTGAAACTCGGGAGGGAGGGATCTTGTGGTGAATCAAGGGAGGGAGTGAGTATCACGACCGGTCAAAGGCAAGCAAAAGAGAGGGAAGCAGGTGTATTGTGTGATGATGAAGAGGAAGGAAATTTATCAGGAGGAGGCCAGCGCGGCCAGGTCAGGTCAGGTCACCCACAGTTGGGCGTGCCTGCCAACAGATCTTTTATGTAGGCAATTTACTTACAGAGCAAAGCACCACCGATTAGCTGCAACGCGGATCCAAAAGTATACCAGGGATAGTAGTAGCCAAATTTGGCCATAAAATCACCGTTGATGAGGACGCTGGCAGAGAGACAGAGGATATAGGGCAGAATATGGACAGAGGTCTGAAGAGCTGTGGCGCCTCGGGTGAATTGAAAGTAGAGTGGGAGGTAGTAGATAGTGATAAATGTACCAAAGGCCGCAAACACTGTTTCTATTAATAAAGGTGCTTTGTAGTGGTCTGATTCTAGTACTTACTCATAGTAATAAAGAGGATAACCAGCTCAAAGTTTCGGAAGAAGTGCATAGGGAAGACGCGATCGCTAGGCGAGGTCAGCAGGCAGAAGCACTGCTGAACGCAAAATGCAGCAAACAAAACACTAGAAAGAATAAAGAGCGCAATACTCCTACCATCGTGCCACGGCCAGAGCACACCCCCAAAGTTCATCGCCATCATAATACAGAGGAACAGGCTAGAGGATAAGAGCGCGCCAACATAGTCCAGCTTGGCGAGGCGCGCCCGCAGCGACACGCCCGGCATCGGCTGGTAGTTGGGGAGGACGAGCAAGTAAATGGGCGCGACGACGCCGCCGATGCAAGGGTTCAGGTAAAACGCCCAGCGCCAGGTTGCCGCGCTCTGCGCAAAGGCGCCGCCGACGACCGGTCCCAGGACGGTGCCGATGCCCCACCAGAAGCCGGTGAGGCTAAGGTAGCGCGGGCGCTCGGCGTCGGAGGTATTAACGGAGAGGAGGGTGAGGAGGCCCATGTACATGCCGGTGCCGCCGACGCCGGCGAGGGCGCGGCCGACGATGAAGGCTGTAATGGTCGGGGCGCCGCCGCAGAGGGCCGAGGCGCCCATGAAGAGGGCGGTAGCGCCGAGGAAGAGCCTCTTGGCGGAGAAGAGGCCAAAGGATTTAGACCATATCAGGGTGCTGGCGGCGGAGGCGAGCGCAAATGAGACCCCCAGCCAGGGTACGAGGTCGACGTGGCCAAAGGCGTCGACGATGGCGGGCTGGATGGTCGCGACGATGGTGGTGTCGAGGGCGTAGAGGAGGAACGAGGCGAGGAGGGAGACGACGACGAGGACCCACTAGATGTTTGATCAGATAGGTAGTTGGCATTATGTTCTTGGGGATAGGAAGCCAAGAAAAACGCACCTTGGCACCGTGGACAGGGCGAGGAGAGGGAGGCTTAGCCGCCTTTTCCAGCACCGGCTCTCTTGGAGCCGAGGGGTCACTAACGAGCGTCTCTGATGGCGAGACGCCATCTTTCGGATCAATCGACTCCTTTTCCGGCGCCGCGATGGCGAGATGGTTATCAATCTGCGCAGCCGCCATGGTGTTGTTCTTGTTGTGTAAGAAGTGTAGGAGCGTTACCGTGTAAGTGGGAAAGAGCCGCACAGTAAGGGGGGCTCTTATATGAATGATGAGGAGAAAGATTCAGTGGTCCCAGGATACACGCGCTGATTAATCCAAGAACAAAGACGGCGTAGATGATGCCGCGACGGGCAAACAGCTCGTCCCACCAACGGGCCAATTCTAGGCCGAAGCCATCACCATGCGAACAAGGGCTCCGTTCGGTGGGCTCTTTACGTCTACGAATTCTAGAAAAAGTTGTGAAAATAGCGGGAGCAAGATTAATTAAACTTGGAAAAGACATGACAGAATTTAATAGATTAGCATAATAGGTAATTCTGACGGTTTGGTGCCCAGAGCAGGTAACTGTCACAATGTCCAAGTCGTCTCGTCCTAGAATGGAATATTCCAAATCGGGACGTTTTTTTTTTTTTTTTTTTTTTAGAAACATCCAAATCCGGACATTCCCTCTGCTGGCGGCTCCCTTTTAGGACAACGCAGTTTTATCGCCGATCGCAAACCCGGCTTCTTGTTCATTTTTTCAGTTTTAGGCTGCTTTGCAAACGCACGAGGCCCTCGAAAGAAAGAGAAAATCGACACGTACGAAGCCAATACCTCAGCCTCACAGTCCCGAATACATCCCGGATGCAAGCATTTTTTTTACAGACTCCAATGAACACCTTGACTCGCTCCATTGCACTGGAAAAGCCGCTGGCAGAAGTCGACCCGAAGTTGTCACAGTTTTCGACCCTCGTTAAATTTCCACGCATGGCCGAATCGTTCTGGTCCCTTTCTCTTTGCCATCCGTTCGGCGAACCAATGTAGAGGCAGGACGAGTATCTGGAGACAGCTCCTCGGTGGAGGTCCATATCCTCGTCGACTACTCCGTCGGGCGTGGTGCAAGACACCCAATCTCCTTTACCCGTCGCCCAGGCCGGATAACTTTCACTTCGCGGCGAGCCTTTTGACGGACTGGCAAAAAATACGGACAGTAAAGTTAGTTCATTCCGCTTGGGAGAACCTGATGACGTCGTCCTTACCGGCATTCCCAAATTCACCGGCGCTCAATTCCAGCATCCAAGAGGGGACAACTGAAACCCCTCTCCTGTTGAGCATTTCAGCGCCTTACGACTTGCCTCCGTCGGTATGCAAACACGATACAACTTCACAGGCTTGACAAAGAGCTACGGATACTTTTTTACAGTTCTTGCCATTGTCCGGTCCAGGGCAAGGCCATCAGATATTGATATCATTCACATTTACGACGACAACGGTCACCCCACCAAACCCGGAAGCACGTCTGCTACACCAGTGCAGATCGGAGCGTTTCCAATTTCCAAAATGGGCATCTGTTTTTGTCTTGTACGCACATTAACCATGTGAGCCAAAGTGCCTCTCGCCGACGAGTTCATCACAGTCGATGAATGGGACAACAACGGATGGAACCGACTGGTCTTGAATGGTAACATGCAACAATTGCCATAGTTGCAGACCTATGACCAATAAATGTAGCCAATAGGTGCTGCAGAAATTCACCATCAATGAAATTCGCGCCCATGACTCCAGCACTGCATTTATGTGTAGCTGGTGAAGAAGCAAGCTGCATGGTGGTGGAAACAGGCCGGGGCGTGGCCTACCCACAACGCTCACCGATACTTGCTTTGCGGGCGGTTTCCTTCATCTCTGGGCGGTAAAACACCAATCACGATGAATGTTCCCAACTTTGACGTGGCTGGCAGTGGCTAGTCTGAATGTCTCGATGCCCGACGCCGGCGCTTCCCAATGGATTCGTACGGCGCGACCGGGCGCCAGGTGCCCGACGCCGCCAGCCGGCTATCAGCAGGGCACCCGCGACACAAGACTGCTCCCTCGACCTCTGGGTTACGAACTATTCCATTCATCCCGCTAGTGTCTCATAATGTTTGGAACTGTCCGCCACAGAGAAGACACATCCGCTACCGTTGACAGGCTCGTGCAAGGATTCAACGATTGTCATGCCAGGCTCCGCCAGCTCGAGATATCGGAGGAGCAGCTGGACAGCAAGACCGCATTGGCACGCACTGTCAACGTGGATGCGGCTGTCAACTGGCACGATGATGGCGGCAGGAGAATCGGCGGCGAGATCACGGAGAAGGCGATGCAGGAACATGTCCGATTTGACACTCTACAGCGGTCGTACGACGAGCCACCGTCGCTGACCGACGCCGCCTCGCCGCCGCCCTCGCAGGATGCTCTGCATGACGGCGACTATTCTCTCCAGGTGCTGCGGCACTTGGGCCCTGACGCGACCTACACGCTCGACGGCGCCATGGAGCGCCAGCGGGCCATGATTGACGCCGCGCACCACGCCCTTGACGGCCTCGGCGGCGCCAACCGCGCCTTGCTCGCCGACCTGACCGAGTCGCGCGCCCAAGCGGTCAGCCTCGCCGCCGCGCTCGACGACTTGCACGCCGTGCATCGCGCCGCCGAGGCGTCGGCGGAGCAGCAGCTCGAGCGCCTCTACGCCGCGCAGTCCGAGCTGTCTGCCTTTCACAGAGTCGCCGCCGTCGAAAGGGACGAGCTGGCCAGGCGCCAGGAGGAGATTGAGATTCTGCACGGGGAGCTCCGCAGGCTCCGCGCGGACGGCGCGGCCATCCACGGCGAGAACGCGTGCATGCAGAACACGATTGCTGCGCAGTGCCGGGCGGAAGTGGTCCTGCGAGGCGAGGTGGCGGAGCGCACTGCGGAAAAGGAATCGGTGGAGGCGGAGCTGGCCGGCGCCCAAGATGAAATCAGGAGCTTGAAAGCTTGTCTGCAGGATAAGGATGCATTTATCGACGGCTTGCGTCGAGATGTAGAAGCGCTCGTTGCTGAAAAGGAAACGGTCGAGGTTGAGAAGGCCAGCTCGCAGCGTGAAAACATGAGCTTGAAAGCTTGCCTGGAGGGCAAGGACACCTTCATCGATACCTTGCGTCGAGAGTTGGCATCGCTCACCGCTGATAAGGAAACTGTCGAGGGTGAGATTGCCAGCTCGCAAGATGAAAATATGAGCCTGAAAGCCTGCCTGCAAGGCAAGGATGCCTTCATCGATGCCTTGCGTCGACAGGTGGACAACGAGAAACGGGCCAGACAGTCGGCGCATTCGCTATTGGTCGCCATCAGCGGGCTTCCTGCTCAAGGCCAGCACTGGGAAGACCTGTCTGCGTCGCTCAAGCTATCGCGGCAAAGCCCCTGCGCGTCATCCGCCGGCGGTTGGCAATGGCTCCCCGCGTGGGACGACGGCGCGCAGCCGGCCGACACGCACCACTCGACGACGGCGGCGCTGTGCTTTGCCTGCGTCTGCCTGCACCACTGGATGGACGACCACGGGCGGGCGCGCGACTGCCTGCAAGCGCTCGTCAACAGCCTGCACGGCGCGGCCGAGCTGCCGGTCCGGGC